CTCGCAGTCATTTTGAATTTTTATTGAATTTCGTGTACTGGGGAGATCGTGAGGGAAGGCTGCTAAGGTGTCAGTACTATTCTGTTCACCACGTGATGGTGAACTTGACTTCCTGTTCACCATCCAATGGATTTCCCCAAGCATTTTATGATGATGCAAAAGAGTATCGTCTGTACCCCATTTTAACTTATCTGGTCAAATGCATTGATCACCTTTGATCAGTTCGCAATCATATTTGGCCCAATTATCCTCGACTTAGGTTTGATTTTGGTCAAAATTCCTCTTTACCCCTCTTCACCCACTTCTTTCTCAGGTGTAGTTCAATACAGTAATAATAATTTGATTTTTGGCAGAACTCAGATAAAGCTGGTCTGCTCAGGATGGGACTAATTTGTCGCAAAGTGGTGGGAAATATGTTCATTTACATTACGTAGTGCGTCCAATCACCGTGATGGCCGAGGTAGGTGTATCATACGTTTGCGTATGGGTTGGGTGTGAATGACACCAGTAGAAGCAAACATCCGTTATTGGCACAGCAGACAGCGTAGGCAGCAATTAGCGAGACGTGCATGGGTGAAAGTCGGAACATATGTTTCACAAAACCACGTGGTGCGTTGCTGGTGTATGCCTGCTTGTAAACCCAGGCTTGCGCATCTAAGTAGACTATTTTTCCCGAAGCCGAAGAGCCCTTCAGAAGAATTCACGGTATGAAATGCCACAGGGGAACAATCAAAGCAATGGTGCGACGTTTCGTTGGTTTCGCGTGATCAGGCCTCATGTATGCATATTATTTTATTCAGTTAAAAGCTTTTATGCTCTCGGAACTTTTAGTGCACAATGATTTGAACAATTGGTGCATTGAGAAAATCCCATAACACACATGTTGGGAAAAGTCAAAGGCATAGAAAGTGTTACTTTCGCAGTGGGAGCCCGTAGTACTTCAGATCAAAATTCTGAGCTACTTAGAAATATTCGAGAAAACTAGTGCTCCGATTACATCAGACATGTCTTGACTAAAACGCGTAAAAAGGTGAGACGTTCCCTTGAAAGCTGCAACAAAGAAAAACTAAGAGCATTCCTAACACTCCATAGCTGATCCCCGTCCACATAAACTTCAGTTGCCATCCCACAATCAGCCGGGTCAAGTGGAACGCCATACACCCTCGTGACATCCCATGTACCGCACGGCGGGGGAGCATTAGCAGCGACCGTTAGACCGCTCCTACAAAGACACCGCCCGGCCGGACCTGGAGCGGGGTCCAGCGCACCCCCCCCCCCCCCTCCCCGTCACTGCCCGCTTCAGCTGAGTGGGCCGGTCCAGTGACGAGGCCGCTCTGCCAGTCATTCAGTGGGGGGCATCGCCTGAGTTCGGCCAAGGCGCCGCGCCTATTGGTCAGCCGGAGGACGGCCAGGTGGTGGAGGCTGGAGTGTCAGCGAAGAACTGGTGTTCGGAATCGGAACGAGAAGTTTCCGAGACCAAACGTGGGGTGCAGAGGGACTATGGCTGGAACCGGACATGTAGGGCAGGCGGCTGAGAGCAACATCCGATGAAGAATTGCTGCGGTGGTGACTGTGTAACCAGTACGCAAAAGCATTAGCCCAACATGACAGTTAGCCCATTTCTCATCTAACATTCCATGTTTTGCTTTGTATTTATTTCCTCAGGCTGACGCCGGTCGTCCGAGGCTGCTCGCTCGGCTGATCACCTGGGCCGGAGGCGAGGCGCACAGTCCCAGCCAGCTGTTGCCCTGGCTTCACATTGGAGCCATTCTGTGAGCCATTGGAGCCATTCATAGCTACAGGCATCTGACAGACTTGTACTGACTACACACTTGGCCATAGACAGGAACTGCTGGGATCATTTCTTCAGTACGAACATTGGAAGCATCTCCACGGAGACCATGCAGATAAAACCATCAGACGGTTCGGGCTGTTTCAAACGGGGGCGCAGTCCACTGCTGTTTGGTCTACGGCGTCAGTATTCAGCGAGTATGAGCTCTAAAGCGTTCACCCGCAAAAAGGCTGATAACATTTATGTTATGTGTGATGCATCTGCGTCACCAAGGACAGATTCCGTAGAAAAATGAGCCCCGACGGCAGATCCAGTAGCTATAATGAACCTCCAAAACAAACCCAGTGACTGTAATGAATTCCCGGGGGCAGATCCAGTAGCTATAATACGCCCCGAGGGCAGATTCAGTAGCTATAATAAACGCAGGTCAGATCTAATAGCTATAACGAGCCGTAGTTTGGACACTGTTCAACATATGAGCCGGAATAAGGTGTGAGGCATGATAATTTGTGGGGCTTTGAAAGAACAACCATGAATATGAGAAAGCATATTTCGAAACAGCAAAGTGAGTGAACCGTTCTAGGTGGTATGAGCTTTAAATAAGATAACTGGTCGTTAAGCTCCTGTTTAGGTGATTTGAGCTTGTCATCGGCGTTCGGAGACGCTATATCTTATCCAAATAACATTTTTAATCCCGGTTGAGATTTTGAGCCGACCGCTGACAGTGTCAGTAATCAAAGAAGACTAACCCGATGGTAACTCCATCAGCTGAATATCCCTGGATATTCCGCCACATAACATCACTAAGAGGCATTACTAATACCCTTTACGGGTGCGTTATTTCAATTTGTTATCTAATGTAATACCTATGCAATTAAAACACGTAACGTAATATTTGAGAACATGAGAAGCTTGAGAAGCATGAGAACACTTTCCGGGCCGCATAAACTGTGGCCGAATTCCACGGCTCTTATTGACATGTCTGCCACCGGGCGGAATAAACTGTGGCCGAATTCCACAGTTCTTATTGACATGCCTGCCACCGTAACTGCAGCACATAATACCAACTGATGACTTCTGGGCCAGTCACAAGGAACACGTCTCGCTACGAGCGTAGCGTAAATGAGACCAGGCGGGAACGTGGTCAAGCAGCCACTCGTTGCGCAAAAGGAAACGTTGTGCGGGATGCCGGTGGCCGGTTGGCAGCATTTTCCCCGACACCGGCACGTAGGGCCATGAAGTGCTCTCGTGCGTCGTAGGGAGCGGGCTGCTCACCCGGGGGCAGTTGCGCGCCGGCCTCCTGCACTCTGCGCCGGCCTCCTGCACTCTGCGCCGGCCAGGTGATGGGCGCCGCGTTAGCTGCTGACGCTTCTACATGGTCTCTGTCTGTTCTCAGCATTGAATCCGGCCTGCACGGCACTCGGATGTTTCATGGTGATATACTGGTACGTCAGGTGATGGGCGCCGCGTTAGCTGCTAACGCTCCTACATAGCCTCTGTCTGTTCTCAGCATTGAATCCGGCCTGCACGGCACTCGGATGTGGTGGTAGTGGTGGTGATGGTGATGGTGATGGTGATGTACTGGTGCGTCGGGTGTAGATGACTACAGTTCTTGAGCGTAGGTGGTTTCATTGACCTTGATGGCAGTTCATTACGAAAAATGCCGAGTCCACTTTAAGCTGATTTTTCTGACAGAGTACGAGATCAAGCGACTGCTAGCAATATTGAAATCCGAGCTAAACATATTCTATTTTAGCGTCTTCTTGTATGGCTGACATAGGACGCCAAGTTAATGAAACTGGCGCCCACGACACGTGTGGAAGGCCATAAGGATCAATGCAAATCAGATTTTAGCATACAGGAGCCGGCTGAGACAGCATCAGCGAAATCTATAGGTAGCCACTGAAGTCACAATAAAGCAAAACAAATAAGCGCAATTTTTCATAACTTTGGTCCAAACATTTTAGTTGCTCGAATTTCAGGAAACAGAGCCCACTACGAACAGTTCGTTGTGTGTGCCATGATCTCACCACCCGATCGACTTCCAATTCAAATTCCAGTTCAACTTCCAGTTCGAATTACAGTTCAAAAACGCAATTTGGTGGCCAAAGTTGAACGTGCCGCAATGCTCGGCGTGGTCCGCCCATCCCCTTATTAGCTCTGCCCTTAATCGGCTTGAGCCCAGACCCTACCACCGGTGGGTTGTGCCAATACAAATCATGCCAATTATACCAAAAAACATTCCAATACAAATGTCCCTGTGTATCGTTCTGGTTGGACGGTGACCACCAGGTCATCAGTGTGCATGCCTCTTGAGCTCGTGGATCCGGATCGCATCCTCATCGCTCATTCAGCCGCTGGTCGTCAGGCACATCCAACAGAGTGGCCATACACCAGAGGGGCCGCCTCGCTCCGACACCGGCCACGTCCGACGGGACAACGCCAGCGTCCACCGCCGACAATATCATGCCGACGAACTCTCCGAAGACAAGCGACGCAGGAGAAAACATTTGGACATAATGCCACGTGACTGAGAAGGCAGGAAAGGAGGGCTCTTGGCCAGCAGGCTCCTTGCAGGCGTTTAATTCGATTCCGTGATTCGATAAGTTTCAAGCTGAAATATCGTGAGTACGTTCTTACGTTGGCACATCCGGCAGTTTACCGCATTCCCAGCTACCTCGAGCTCTTATGGTCGTGTTGAACGTTGTTGAATAGAACAAAAACCAATGGGTGACTCCGCCTATCAGGGTTTGGTGACTTGAGTTACTTCATGGGACTCCCCATACAGTACATTGTTTATATTTTTAAGATCACATTCACACATTACACATTTTTCCGAGCTTCGGGTCAAGCCTTCAAAATCATAGGGTCTAGAGGCACGCTTACAAGAAACATCACACAGCCACTCATGAATTGAAAAATACTTAAAGTAGTTTGTCGCTTCGTTGATCCTTGCTAAATCTTCAATACGCCGTAACCACTTCCGTCTCGAAGGACGCCGACACCCGGCATGTAACATAGATAACCGGCATATAATACAAATAACAGTGAGTAAAATGGCTATTGAATGTGCTCACGATGGCATACTGCAATCAGCCCCTCTCTCACTCCGATGGGGAGGGGGGGGGGGGTGCCGAACTGCCCACACTGTCTGGTTTATTGGGACAGTCGGTGCCGCGTAGGTCCGTGAGAGGGCCCAGTTTCTCACCTGTGTGGCTCAGACGGTCGGAGTGCGGCGACGGGGGCTGCTCGACCTCGGGCGAGCGCGGACCGGACTCGCGGCCCCGGCGGGCGCCCGCGTCCGGGCCCGGCGCGTGCGACATGGCGATCGGTCGCGAGTCGGGGCTACCAAATTCACCGGCTGCGTCTGAACACGTGACAGCTCACAGTCGGCCGAGCACGAACATAGCACTGAAACGGAGCGGTCGTTGCTTCAGTGCTGAGAACGAAACGGTCATTGCTTCAGTGCTGAGAACGAGAAGTGAGCTTGGACATGGCCAGTCGTTCCAGGTGTTAAAAGAAAACCCCAGACTAAACGCGTCATTCATCTTTAACACTTGTCGTCATTAGTCGTCATCAATACTTGTTTTCATTTATAATTGGAACAGATTGACAGCGCCAGAGAAGAATGGTCTCGCATGCCTGTTCAACGTTTTGACGTTTATCAAGTTGGCAGTTCCCATTGCATAATTTTCAAGCTTTACGGGATGCAGTCATTCACGATCTCTTAGCTTCTAGTAACTTCACAATAGCTTATGAAGCTAACACAAATCAAAGCATCTTGCCCTACACTTACAGAGGTGGTAAAATGCCACTTGATGTATGGCATGACTCTGAAAGGCCCCAGCAGTACTTTTGTGCACCTTTATCGCTTCGGTTCTTGAAATAGCGTTTTTGTGGGCAAATTTTTGCACTTTTCAAGCTCTAACCCAACGTAAGATCAACCTATAGTAACCGCAAAAATGTTCCCGGCATTGTTATTCTTGATATCAGCATTCAGCATCTCCAGCGCCTCAGGATGATAGGATTTGGTGCACGCAGATCTAATGATTCGACGTGAAGGACATTTTAAAGCAATGTTATAGGCTAAAAATTTACCAAAGTAGAACCCTAGAGCTTGCTGGTCGGCGTGAACGGGTGGCAAGCTCAGCTAGTCAATATTTCTAACGCGCTGAATGTTGTTCGGAGTACAACTCCCAAAACGGAAGGTGGGCTGCACCATTGGGGATTCTGAGTCCAACAACATGGACTCTGGTCAGGGTTGGCAAAATAATTGGGTGGCTTGATGGGTGAAATCCAGTTACTTCAATCTTCAGTAATATATATATATATATATATATATATATATATATATATATATATATATATATATATATATATGCATTCAATACGCGTGCGGGAAGAGCGAATTCCACCTCAGTGTTAAATGCAGCGCCAAAAGATTAGCCCTGGTGATTATAATGACGGAAATAAGTACAGGCATCTGCAGCAATTCCCTGGATAAAACAGCCACAGTTGTCTGTGCGTGACGTCGCAAGTAACGCAGTGGCCAAACGGGTTAAAGTTCCTGAGAAAACACGCGGGCTAGACCCAGGTGGCCGTGACAGTCCCGTTTCCCTGTCGGCCCGGCTGCAGTGCGGAGGCAGCGGCACATGACGTAAGCTGGGGCCAAGGCCACTGTCCCGTCTGCCTGCGGGAGGTATCTCCAGAGGCTGTCCCCAGGCGTTACTCAGCCCGTCGCGGGCGTCCATGTGGCATAGGCTATGTTTTCGCTAAGTCCGGGCGTGATGGGGATCGATTTCTGGACTGTCTTTACAGATCCGTATGCAATGGGATCGGCTGATGAATGCTCACGCATTTCCTCAGACCAGTGTTGGCTCTCGACAGGAAGCGGATGCCCCTGTATTGTTCAGAGATCCGCAGTGTTCGGCAGTACCCCACATGCACGAGTACCGTCCCAACACGGCAGAACTTGGAAACCAAGGGAGGGAAACGGCATGGGTGACGACGTCCTGGTTACACACGTACTGACGATCGATGACCGCATGACGTCCTGGTTACACACGTACTGACGATCGATGACCACATGACGTCCTGGTTACACACGTAGTGACGATCGATGAGCACATGACGTCCTGGTTACACACGTGCTGACGACCGATGACCACATGACGTCCTGGTTACACACATACTGACGACCGATGACCGCATGACGTCCTGGTTGCACACGTACTGACGACCGATGACCGCATGACGTCCTGGTTACACACGTACTGACGACCGATGACCACATGACGTCCTGGTTACACACGTACTGACGATCGATGACCACATGACCATCCTGGTTACACACGTACTGACGATCGATGACGCACATGACGTTCTGGTTACACACGACTGACGACGTACCACATGACGTTCTGGTTACACATGTACTGACGACCGATGACCACATGACGTCCTGGTTACACACTGTACTGACGGACCGATGACCACATGACGTCCTGGTTACACACGATACTGGACGACCGATGACCGCATGACGTCCTGGTTACACACGTACTGACGACCGATGACCACATGACGTCCTGGTTACACACGTACTGACGATCAATGACCACATGACGTCCTGGTTACACACGTACTGACGATCGATGACCACATGACGTCTGGTTACACACGTACTGACGACCGATGACCACATGACGTCCTGGTTACACACGTACTGACGACCGATGACCACATGACGTCCTGGTTACACACGTACTGACGACCGATGGACCACATGACGTCCTGGTTACACACGTACTGACGATCGATGACCACATGACGTCCTGGTTACACACGTACTGACGATCGATGACCACATGACGGTCTGGTTACACACGTACTGACGACCAATGACCACATGACGTCCTGGTTACACACGTACTGACAATCGATGAGCACATGACGTCCTGGTTACACACATACTGACGACCGATGACCACATGACGTCCTGGTTACACACGTACTGACGATCGATGACCACATGACGTCCTGGTTACACACGTACTGACGATCGATGACCACATGACGTTCTGGTTACACACGTACTGACGACCGATGACCACATGACGTCCTGGTTACACACGTACTGACGACCGATGACCACATGACGTCCTGGTTACACACGTACTGACGACCGATGACCACATGACGTCCTGGTTACACACGTACTGACGATCGATGACCACATGACGTCCTGGTTACACACGTACTGACGATCGATGACCACATGACGGTCTGGTTACACACGTACTGACGACCAATGACCACATGACGTCCTGGTTACACACGTACTGACAATCGATGAGCACATGACGTCCTGGTTACACACATACTGACGACCGATGACCACATGACGTCCTGGTTACACACGTACTGACGATCGATGACCACATGACGTCCTGGTTACACACGTATTGACGACCGATGACCACATGACGATTTCGTATTTAAGATCACCGAGAAAGATAACCATCTCCGTGGTCTAGGGGAAAGATACTGAACTCGTCGTTCAGAGGTACTGGGTACGAGTTCCACAGAGGTCATATCGCTTGGCCCGACTGAAATGTAAAGGTCAGCTGGCAGCTGGCCAACGAGGGTCAACGCAGGCCCGGGGCGGCCGTGTCGCAGCATTGTGCGGCAGTTGAAACACTCCGCATCCCTTCGTGGCGAAAGGGCGGGGGCAAAATTATCTGTTAACTGGACAGCACGACTTGTGTGGCGTGTTCAGGGTTCACGCAAAAAGCTATGCTTACCAGGTACTCTGAACTCAGAGCCACCCGTGCAAACCATTTGGTGTATTTTTTTCCTTAAATGTTTAAACACCCTTGGCTAACTGAGGAATTTGTACTGAATTCTGATTGTATTTTAGGGTGCAGGAACGGAAAAATGTGTGGGGCAGACAAGGTAATTGAATATGACCAACGTTACAAACGTATAAAGCATAGAGCGTAGTTGTGAGGTCAATGGGCCAAAATGAAATGAGCTGCATTGCAGCCATCTGCACATATCATGCCACTTTGTTGAGACGCAAGACAACTTCCTAAAACGAAGCGCATGTTAGAGGCCATTTTTGGTTCGCGGAATTTGTGAGATGCATCATGCCGACATTTTAAGAGAATATTAGAGAACATATTTTCAAGAACATATCCCCAAGCAGACTCAGTCCAAAAGATTTCACGAGGTCCTCGGCATGAATCATGTCCATTCGTGCAGATTACTGAACGCAGCCAACCAGCAGCATTGAATTCCGGGAGGACAGCCGCAAAACGTGGACGAGCGACGAATTTCATGCTACACTAAACGTGCCCCTGTGATTCACTGGTGCTTTGAACCGTGTCGATGCCGGTGAGCAAATGTCAAAACATTTGAGTCTGACATTACCCAGGCCTGTTCATGACAAACGTCCGACCATTCGTCACAAGTTGCGGCAAGCGGCAGGCCAGCACAACATCTGAGAGTGATCACCGGTACCCTCGCGCATTTGTCTTATTCTGTGATAGATGAGTGTGACGTGGTCCCAACCGGCTACGTCCTTTTATTGGTACAGCAATCGAGATGCAGTTTTTAGTGAAATCCCTGCACCTTTGGTAAGTTTTTTTTTGTCGTTTGGTTCTACGCTGATGCCCACGAGGAAGCTAGAGAAAAAGTTACAGAGATTAGAGCCCATGTACCAAACCATAGTGGATTCAAATCCAAGTCGTGAGCGGGGACGAATTCAGAGATCTAGGTCCCAAGGTAAAGACCGATCAAGCTACATGAACAGGCAATGGCCTTTGGGAGCATCCTTTCACAATATTTCTGCTTGGTTTATTGCAGGCACAACTGTTGCCATTTTCGGAGCGATAATTTTCTTCCTTCTTTAAGTTAACGGTAGTTACAGTGGCTTAGCTAATGAAGCATACATCAGATCGCCTGTTCGCTGTAGTCTTTGTTAGCTTTTATCGATGTGGTGCACATGTGTTTGATTTATTCGAATCTGAGATCAGAACGTTCTTGGAAGGCATACGGTTCTTGCATGGAACATGTGCTTTTCAAGGTTGCATTGACACATCAATCCTCAATATATTTATGGGATAATGAGATTTGATTACCTCTGATGAGAGTGGAGGATTGCTGCCCACAGCCCTTACCGTGTATGAGAGCCATAAAACAGTACAACCGGCTCCAAATGACGAGTTGACGAAGAAACAAAATTGATGAGGAGGTAACGCCTTTAGCAGGGTTGAGGAACATAATGAAAGAATCTCCTTAAGAGGATACATTTATGCATATGTAGTGACTTCAATATTAAAGGCATCACTAATTCAAACCAGCTACAGCTACTTGGTCACTTGACGACGTCCGCTCCGCGGCGCCGCGGCATATAAAAGCCGCGAACCCTGCGCTGGCGGCCGTTTTCACGCGTGAGAGCCCGGCGGAGGTGCCCGTGACGTTGTAAGCAGTGGTGTGACGGCGTGAACATGTCATCTGAAGTTTGACGGAGCAGCGAATAATCCCCACTGTAGCGTGTGATTGATTACGGGTCCGCCAATATCAAACACAGGCAGGCTGCATGACACTGCTGCCACTTGGTTGCTTTGAAAATGAACGTGTGGAAGAGAGAAATTGAGAGATTTTTTAGAAAGAGAGAAAGCGTGTTAACTTTATTGCCTCCGCAAGTGATTGACTGTCAGATTGGCCGGCAATTTCGTTCGAGTGTGTCCAACGATTAAATGCAAGTACCAATCTGGATGCCTACAACGCAGATTAAATCAATCCGAGATGATAACGCCAGCACGAGCCTTTAACGCTTCCGTTTATCCACCATCGATAAACGGTGCATTGGATAGGTATTCTGATTCACATCGGTCCATCGCTTGGGATAAAAAAACAGCCCCAAAGCGGCAAACGTTGACTCAAAGTTGCACTTAATCGTCGGGAGGATGGAAGCCACAGTCTGCCTGTAAGGCTTTTCAGCGTGACACAATCGATTCGTAATCTGATCGGAAACAGGAAAATGGGAGGGCCGTCTGTACCGTTGCTGCGCCTGCAGGAGCTCAACACGGGGGGGGGGGGGGGGGACAGGCAGCAATGGTTACCGGCCGATGCCAGTTCTGAGAAGCCGGTATGCATAAAGGTACATGGCTTGCAGGGCCACAGTAAGTGCTGTTTCTAACGCGATCTTCGTGTGCTAAAAGATGCAATATCACCTCTGTTAGCAAGATTGGAAGATGGCGTGATAGTGCACAGTGCACGGCTGCCTCCCTCAGTCCTCCTCTCCATCATAGCAGGAAGCGGGTGCGCCGATTCCTTATAGTATTCCGGATGACAGGACGATGTCTTCGGCCCCCGGGGTCATTTCACGATTGTCAAAAGTAAACAGACATAAATTTTCCCATATCTTGCCACGTGCCATTCACCGGTCTCCCATGAAGATAGTGGAGAGAACATTCACACGCGAATGATTTATCGCAGATTGCCCCAATTTGGCCGCCACATCACGCTGATTTTGTCTGGTTTGAGCGCGACACACCGGTGTTTGGTCGTGCTGTTGTTCCTACTAGGAACCGTATCATACACCTGCCGCCGGACGAAGGAAAATAAGTTCCATAAACGAGCTTGCAACTCGTACTGCGTCAACCCGTTAAGATAGCAGCGCTTTTTGATATTTCATTGTATGGATAACTTAATATTGATGACAGCTTGGTGCTCAGACAATAACCAGTGATTCTAGAAACAGCGCTGCCATTGAGGGCCATCATACAAATGTTCCGCAACATGGAAATGCCTGACTGTCCAGTACCAATGAAACTAGAGATTTCCCCTGAGCCGCCAATACATGCCGAAGGATACCAAGCTTAACAGCATACAATACGTCATTAGTTTTGATTACATTTCATGCACAAGTTTGTCAAAACCGCAAAGCACGTCATTTTGCTTCGAGCATGGTGGAAACCACAAGTTTACTTGCAGGCGGTCGATCAAGTTAGCCACCGGCCCAACAGATCCTCCACATGCATGGCGGAAGTGCTTCGACACTTCTAACGGTACAGCGATTCAATGAAGAGCCTTAGCCTAAGGGAGCCTTTCGCAGTGTGTACTCACGGGGAATTTTTCCTTCGATCCCTTTCCATCATGATAACTTTCCCTACTTTGTATTCGCAGTACTCAGTCACTATAGCAGGAGTGCAGCATTTGCCTCTTTTTCGGCAACTGCAGCATTCAACTCTATGTCAGCGTCTCTATGCGAAAGCTCCAGCAATACTTAGTTCATTGTTTTGCCCTACCGTGATAGGTGTCCCCGTTCACAGCTACCTCCATACCATTCTTCAAAACATTAGATTTGTTCATCTAAGAACATCCGCTCCCATCAATATCTGAACGTTTTTCAAGACTATCGTTAAGCACCAGTAGTCTGCTCTATTTTTTGTGTACTGTGGTTCCAAGTGACACGGCAGGTAATTTGCCAACATTTCGGATAATTAGTGTAGGCTATCACTTGGCCAGAGGCCGCGAAGCTACCAGCCTCCAGCTGAATTGGAATCTTCTGCATAAGTTGGCCAAATTGAGTCAGGTAGCACAAGGTCTCGTACGGTTTATGAAGGCGACGGAGCAACATATTCTTCAGAACAAATAATATGTTCGGTCGCGGACGGATGCAAAAACTCTGTACAATTTCGAACGAATTTGCTATGAAGATTGACAGTGGTAGGGAAAGGAACTCGAAAGGAATTTTACAAAACTAGGCAGTTCAAATGAGCAACAAGTTGTGAAAGCAGCGATGCAGCGTTCTGGTAAGAGACACTAAAAGCTAGTGAGTGCCTTCTCGGCATGGCGAATAGCTAGCCGTGGTTGGTGAAAGGCTTCCGATGTTTCTACGGAATTGAATGACATCGATGAATTATGACGATCGCAATCACGACTCCCGTCCCGCGCTGGCGTGCAAGATAGGTTTACCGCAGCTGGACGGCGGCGGGCCAGTCCGACATGCTCAGCAAAGCTGCTCATTTGGCCGCGATTCTGGCCGTGGAAGCCGGAACCGATCCGACATTGGTGCGCGGTTGGGCTTTGTCTTCAGCCCGGCTCGGCCCGCTCCGCGTGCCGACAGGCACAGGGACGATGCTGGCTGGGCCGTGTTTAGCGGGCCGGCAGCAGATCCTCGATACGGAAGGTTGTATATCTGCGGCTTTATGAGCCTCTCGGCCATCCCGAGCTGTCGTAAATCACACCCGAATCGGACGCACATGTTGATGTTGGGTCGGCACTCCCGTTTTGACGCCGAGCGTGACGCGCACAGACAGCGTCTCGCAAGAGTTACGTGCGCTACGGGGAGGTGAGGTGACGTGTCAACTTCGCGGGGTCCGAGGGTATGAAGGAGGGAAGCGACATATCCCCAAAGGCTATGAGAGAACGGTACTTATCATTCGGGAACAACCTAGGGAAAAAGCCGCCAGCCCACTGAGTCGGCCCGTCACCAGAAGATGCCACCCAACCGCAGGTAATCCGCCATTCGGTGACCTCCGGCAGCCGAGGTCAGATGACGCGGCTGACAGCACAATACTCTGAAAGCTTGGCAACGATTGGCCAACCCGCGGCCGCGGGATACCGATGCTGACGCGGAGGCCGAGCACAACAGCAGGGACGCCGAGTCCCCGGCCGTAATCAGCTGGCCTTCTCGGTTAGCGACCACGTGGGAGCAGGTTTTAACATTGCATGCATATCAACCTTACTACCCGACGACTTTTTAGACGTTGTACCAGAAGCGGGGGACGGGACTCGGTGATGGGGTATTGGTGTTGACGTTGGTGCGGGGATACTCCCAATTTTCTAAAACACAACTTTTAGTGAATATTCTCCTCGTTATGTCATTGGTTGATTGCGTCATGGAACGCTTGCAGTTTTTCAATCTCCCGAGAGGGGTCCACGGCGGAGCTGGATGTGTGTTCAACCAAATATAGTAAGATACTCGGGCTTTGGCCCATTCTCGTGATGTTCTTACATATTTATCCTCGAGTTTAATATGTTTATTTGTATTCACATACTAGGTAATATCACCTATCTTAAGTTAGTGGAATTTAATACAAGACGTCTGAGGAGCATACCAAATATTAAGAACATGATCCATATAAAAAATATAAACATATAGACGTATCCCGAGACATCAAATACGACTCGAGCCCTACTACCGATATATCACAAAAATACCACGAATAAACCATGAATATACCACGAATCCAAAAACAAGACCCCTTAGCGATGTCAGGAGGCCGCTTGGCTGGAGGGCCCCCTATGACCCGATGTAACCCCCGCCCCCTAGGGCTCAGGCTACGCCGCTGGCACTGACATGAATTATTATGGTAGGCACTCCTCCCCATTAACGTTACGGCGCCCATCACCCGACACAAGATCCACAGGGCTGTGACGTACCTGGTGACACTCTGGGGCTATGTCACACTACCACCGGGAACTACCGCCCCGCGCACCCCACACGTACACCGCAAGGAGCACACTGAGCGGCGCTGAGCTGTGAGTGGGCAACCTGCCCTACTATCCAGTCGGACAGGTAGGAAAACAGAAGTACCCACAGCGGCCGCTGGGTGGCGGCAAGGAGGCAAATCAAGACCTTGGTTACGGCCAGGAGGATATATACCGTTACGTCCAAGTTTCCATCTTATATTGTGCAAGCAATTTTGATGAATTTGGTAAGGTTCGAGAAGCTATTGGTACACAGACATCTTGATGACCACTGTCAGAAGGCTTGGAAGGAAACATGCCTTGCAGATATGGAAAGCAGTGAGTCAAATTTGCGACTGGAGACTTCGTCGACCCTTTCGGGGCTACCACCGAAATGGGCGAGACATTTTCACTACGTTGCGGGTCCATCCCGCTTCCCGCGACCGGCCAAGACGGTCCATTTTCTTTGTCGATTTTGTGCGATTCGTGCTATTACACACGCGCCTCTGCTGTAAACAAGCGTCTTAACATTTCGGTGTTGTTGCTCCCTCACCGCTTCTCTACCGTGGGAAGCCCAATAAGGTTTAAAACGGTACAGAATCTGGCTCAAACTCGGCCTCCGACTGTGATGCACTCCTGGACGTCGATCACGGGAATGTTAGCTCCGCTTTGGGCGCCTCCTCGCCGGATGACCCTCGCGCCCCAGGCTCATTCCGTTGGGTCGCGCATCCCCCCCCCCACGGTGTCTGGATGGTGCGTACCCTCGTCCGACGCCCCGACAACGACCTTCGCTCGACCCTGTCCTCTCAGGTGCCTATTCATTCTGAAGTTACCCCTCGCTGAAAACTGTCCAGTGAATGCCAGGCTTCTGAGCCCGTGTTAAATCCATTCGGTTTCTACGTCGTCATGCAAACCTGTGACGAAAATGATCCTTTTTGGTAATGAAACAACGCCTTCGGGACGTCCAAACAAATTCAAGCCGCACGCGGACCATGCAGCCTTGACATTGAGGACCAGCAAGTGGGTCGCCTTTCATAAAAATGTACTACCCATGCACAGACCAAAGCTATTTTCCAAACCATGTGATGTGACCAGGCACGCGAAATTTTTCTCGACATGCGCGCAACACCATACCAGAAGCTATCGTTGCCCCTGATCTCCGTTTCAAGCCGGAACATGAGATCCTGACGAAGCTCAGGACGAACAACATGGGGCAGGTCCGACGGGCGGCCGCAATCCGAGACTGACAGCGTCGCGACATCGGCTCGTTTCGTCTTTTCAAAGCATACGTCTACCACAAACCTCCATTGCCGGCTATCTTCTCTATAGAGGCATGGTCGTCATACTCAATGCACTTCGGCGTTTCAATTGCAAATGTTTTGAGCATGGCAGCAAGACCTGCAAACAGAACACCAGGCGACTGGAACGCGGGGGAACCGCACGTGACGGGCTGGCGTGTACAACGCCAATCAAATGGCCGAGTTGTGGCAGTTCCGAGCACGGGATTTCAACTTAATGCCCCATTTGTAAGGAGGAAGCGGGGTGTGCCCTGTAAATGCTAAGACAGAAATATCGTATGAATAGGCTTATCCCACTGTTCAGACCTCATCGCCCACATTCACTTCCCAAAAAGGGGCCGTAATTACTGGGTCGTTAGCGCCTTCGGCTCCAACGTCGGGCCCTGGTTCGGATCCCATTGCCACATGACCCCTGTGCTCCTTCATGACCTGTACATTCGATGGCGCTCCATGGAAGGACTCGAGACATAGCACGTCGCACACTCTTGCACCTCTACGTGGTCCGCAGATTTGCTAGCTTATAAAATCTCACGTAGTTTGACCTCACACTAAATAAACCTGATGTGAAACATCTGTGTGCTTTTGTCCTCGCTTTATGACAGACCGTGAGACTTTAGTTACTGTTCTTCTTTCCATCAAAGCTTAACTTGCATTGGCCGGTCAGATATGTTCGTTGGTTAAAGTGAGTGTCCTTTCTTTAGGCATATTTCAAAACACACTGGTGAAACTCCAGCGCCAGTTACATCTAATAATGGCGCTAGTTGGTGCCACTGTACCACCGCTAGTAAATAAGAATATCAATTTAATTATTTTCGAGTCCAAGTTACTACTATGGCACCCCTATTGGTGCGGATAAAAGAGCGTCACTATGGCTCATGTGATGTTCCTATCCCGAAGGCAAAGTGTGCCTGGAAAAAAGTCACTGTGACAAACGCCCCAGGGAAAAAATCAAGGCCATAGTATAGGTTTCGTTGATTTTGCGGCATAATATCTTCACGTTCGCGCATCTTTTTCTCTGAGCAAAAAGCATTTGTAGCGTTTATTACACAAACAATTTGACAAAGCAATGTGTTGCAAACATTAGAGCACGTACTTTGGAAAAAAAAACAATGCAAATGACATGCAATATTTGCATAGTGGTGAGCACGGAATTCAGTGATATTTCTCCTCTAGGAGCGGGGCAAGATCAAATGTTTGAATCGAAATTCTGAGCTATTCAGAAGAATTTTGGAAAAACCGGTATTACCAATCAAACCGGATGCGCCTGATCTAACAGAAACGGGTAATGCCGCTCCCTTCAGCACGGTACACCTGGGCAGAGCGACGCTCACTTCAGCACGGTACACCTGGGCAGTGCAAGGCTCCCTTCAGCACGGTGCACCAGAGCAAAACGACGCTCCCTTCAGCGCGGTACACCAAAGCAGGACGACGCTCCCTTCAGCGCGGTGCACCAGAGGACGACGCTTCCTTTCGCGGTGCACCAGGGCAGAACGACGCCCCTTCAGGGTACACCAGTGCAGAACGACGCTCCCTTCAGCGAGGTGCACCAGCGCAGAACGACGCTTTCTTAAGCGCGGTGCGCCAGAGCAGGACGACGCTCCGTTCGGCGCGGTGCGCCAGAGCAGGACGACGCTCCGTTCAGCGCGGTACGCCAGAGCAGAACGACGCTCCCCTCAGCGCGGTACACCAGAGCAGAACAACGCTCCATTCAGCGCTCACACTTCCTTTAGCCCGGTACACCAGCGCAGGACGACGCTCCCTTTAACGCGGTACAACAGAGCAGAACGACGCTCCCTTCAGCGAGGTGCACCAGCGCAGAACGACGCTCCTTTCAGCGCGGTACACCAAAGCAGAACGCGCTCCGTTCAGCGCGGTACACCAGAGCAGAACGACGCTCCCTTCAGTGCGGCACACCAGAGCGGAACGACGATCTCTTCAGCGAGACGCACCAGCGCAGGGTGACATCTCATCCAAAGCTACACCAGTGCAAGTAAAGGAGAATTCCAGCGAGCCAAAGACGCACTTCGACAGAAGTGGCCTAATGCCTCAACTAAATGACACTATGGCCCGTTTGAAAAGTAATGAGTGGAAGTTAACCTGAGCAACGGAATGGCCGGCTCCGAATTCGCCGAAAATAACATCCATAGAGACATCACCACTGCTTCCCCAAATTGCAATCTGCCTCAAACAGACAGATCCATGGATCTGCAAACCACAATTCATAGGGAATACATATAATCTTTCACCATTATGATGATACTGAGAAAAGGTATATGGTCACCTCGACACACACACACACACATATTACATGGCCCACAATCCTTCCTTTTGTCGGCGATGGAGCCCTTGATGAACCCTAGGGCCATCCTTTGGTAATTTCGCACAGCAGACAATACATAAGCTCAAAATAATAAACGGCAGAAATGCTAAGTTACATTTCATCGCCACACTTAAATTTCACAGCGAAGACACATCATCCAATTACCAAAACACGATTTCAACGCAATAAAGCGCTGTGACATGTTGGTAATATTCTAGCCTGAGAAATGCCACATTTGACGTTTGTTTCTCTAAAACGCGCGGAACCTCCTCATTGGATCACACCACTGAAATGAATATCCACAAACAGCGCGAAACAGGCCGGCGTCCTCACAGCGAAGACCGCGTCCGCGCGGCCGACGGAGTCAGCTGACTCGCTGTCAGCTGACGTTCGTTGTCAGCTGGCCTGCAGTCAGCTGACTAGGCGCAGCCGTTGCCGGCGGCGTGCCGGCGGTACATGGCCAGGCAGCGTTTGGAGATGGGCGGCGGCTGGTAGCTGCAGGCTCGCCGGTAGATCTGGCGGCACGGAGCGGGCTGTCACGAAAGGATGCCAGAACGGGAGGAATGGAAGGAATGCCACCTAACACTGAGCTACTGGCAGTACACCCGTCTACCGACCGTCCTGACGGCCCGTCTACCGATCTCCCAAGCAGCCCGTCTACCAACGTCTCCCACAGCCGTCTACCGACCTCCCCGACGGCCCGTCTAGCCCTGACGGCCCGTGTACCAATCTCCCCGACCGCCCGTCTACCGACCTCCCCGACGGCCCGTCTACCGACCTCCCCGACCGCCCGTCTACCGACCTCCCCGACCGCCCGTCTACCGACCTCCCCGACCGCCCGTCTACCGACCTCCCCGACGGCCCGTCTACCACCTCCCGACCGCCCGTCTACCGACCTCCCCGACGCCCGTCTACCGACCTCCCCGACGGCCCGTCTACCACCTCCCCGACCGCCCGTCTACCGACCTCCCCGACGGCCTGTCTTCCCCCGTCAGAGGCGTCTACCGACCTCCCCGACCGCCCGTCTACCGACCTCCCCGACGGCCCGTCTACCGACCTCCCCGACGGCCCGTCTACCAACCTCCCCGACGGCCCATCTATCGACCTCCCTGGCGGCCTGTCTTCCCCGTCAGAGGCGTCTACCGACCTCCCTGGCGGCGCGGCTTGCCACCGGTGGCGCCACCTCGCGGCTGGAGTCCATCTTCAGCTGGGAGAGCTGCAGGAGGTGGACGGGCTGCAGCGAGGCGGCCTTCAGCGCCTCCCGCGGCGGCAGGCACGTGGTGGCGCACGGCAGACCAAGACCGGCGTGTCTGTAGTGTCAGATGGCAATGACAGGTGAAACAGTCTGAAGCACGAAATACTGAAAACCCATCAACACGAAAGGACCACAGTTTTACACGCCAAAAAAAACAACGCATCCCATCAGAGTGGCGAAGCGTAGGCGTACATGTTGTGGACTATTTTGCTTTCATTAAACGTTCCCATTTCATTGAATACGGAATACAGATCTTACCCAGGTTGGCCTGGTGTTGACCACGGACAGCGTGCCAAAATTCCACACACGACACACTGAAACATTAGGTTGTTCGGCAAGTTCGGTTGCAGTCTCTCAAGCATGCACTTCATACACGATCAAAGAGATTTGAGTCAGGACGTGTTGCGCCAGGCATCCAGCTGCCAGGCTGCGGTCCCAGCCAGGTGTCTGGCCGGACCCCGGGCAGCTCGGAGCCTGCCTTCGGTTGCCAGGCTGCAGTCCCACGCTGTCTCTAGGGCAGCCGCCCGCCCACCTCCTGTACCCACCTCTTGTACACGCTGACGTCCTTCTTGGAGGGCGGCCCGCAGCTGGAGTCCGTACTCGTGGCGGGGCGAAGTCAGCAGGGCGGCCAGCGCCAGCGGCGGCCGCGACGTCGGAGCCGACTGCGGCGCGCCGGCCGACTGCGCCAGTGGCGCCTCGTCCGACGTCTCCGACGTCTCAGATCCGCCGCTGCAGGAGCCAACACCCGGGTCAGGTCAGGTCAGGTCCTGCTGCGTTTAGGTGATGCGCTACCTCCGTCGGCCGCCGTCGAGGTCGCCCGGTTCAGGTTCTCATACTTCTCACACACCGAATAGTGAACATAGATGGCAATGCAAGGTATCCCTTGCTGGGCAGTCCTTCCAGGCGCCCATGTAAGCGTTAAGCCCCTCTGATCTGCGGGAGGGGGGGGGGGGGGGCGGCCGTGCACTCCTCACCTGGACTCGGTGCCCGGCTGGACAGGCTCCTCACCTGGACTCGGTGCCCGGCTGGCAGGGCGTCGACGCCTTGTCGTTGGCCTCGGGCGTCGCCAGCGGCCGGCGCCGCGTCCGTACGGCGAACGGAGACTCGTCCACGAAAAGTGCCGGCATGTAGTCCCTGACGGCACCCAGCGGTGTGAGGGCACGCGGCCAATGCTGACAAGGCAGCCACCTGGAGTAGCCTTCAAGTAATCCATTCTTGCTGCGTCCATCATATTTCAGTACTCGTTTTGTTGCTTTGTCGTGATTTCCCCCGCACAAGACAACGGAGTCACCGAGTCCCATTGCTGACAGCTGAAGTTCATGGGCCGCTTGTCGAAACGCCAGATCATGGCGGTTATGAATACCACACAGGGTCTTCCGCAGAACGTGCGACAGCGAGGAAACAATTCACCATACTGTTCCCCGCCGTTCAAAGATCCAATGGCACACCGATCGGCCCGACACTTCAACATCACACTCTGAAGTCCTCGTGTCGCGAAGAGATCATATCGAACGTCATGAGGACCATCAGTCCCGCAATCCCGCACGACCGAGTGCTCGCCTCACCTGACCGAGTGCATCATGTTGAAGTCGAACAGCTCAGAGAAGCAGCTGCGTTCGTGCGGTCGGTACTGCTCGCGGAAGGCGTCCGCGCGCTCGTCGCTGCTGGCGATCTTCACCAGGTAGCTGCAGCGCTTGTCGGCCTCGATGGCGGCCGCTGGCAGGTGGCGCATCACCTAACGCAGCAGGACCTGATCTGACCTAACCTGAGCGTTGATCTTTGCTTCCACATCACCTGTATGAACAGCGGCTGTACGTCATGCTTGTTACTTATGATATTCTGTTTCATACCGGAAAGTGGATTATAGTCACCATGCACCCAAATATGTCAAATAGATAATCGCTCACCGCTATGACCGGATCAGTTTGGTAGTGGAATAGGGAAAAGCAAATGTCGCCAAATCAGCGCTCACATGAAAACAGGGCAAACACACACACGATTTAACGGTCAAAGTTTTATCAAACGGTCCAAGCTTTCCAAGCTTAGCTGGTCACTTATGATATCCTGCTTCATACTGGAAAGTAGATTATAGTCGGTACACTCCGGCACGCGCACGGCTGGTCACACCTGGTCTGACCACCACTGTGTGGGGCTGTTGCGGTAGATGTCGCGGTCGGCCGGCCGGTGGTGGAGGTGATAGTCGCTGGAGAGCTCCCAGAGCGCCGGCCGGTCGGCACGCGGTACGAACGAGCCCAGGAACAGGTTTATGGCGTTCTGCTTGTCCGAGTCTGTCGGCAGGGACCGGGCTCGGTTGCGAACGAGAACATCGGTGGATGAAGTTATATCAACGTTTACAAAGCATGAACGCCGGGGGACTTCAGGTTTAGAACAACAACAGCCAAAGCGGGACTGGTGGACCCGCGCCCACGCTCGTGAAAAGGCGTCCAGCTTTGATCACATTCGTGTCGCATTCGTGTGCTTGACGTGAATGGTCGACTGACCGGCGGGGACATCCACCAAAACGCAAATACAGACACATATGTTCAAAACTTGCGCAGTTACACCCAGAACGCTATTTTGTTTGATTACATGCAGGCTTTTCGACTTATTCCGGTGTAGAAGTGAAAATGGAAACTTAGAAAATAGGAAGCCCAAAGTACATTCGTCAATACCACTGCGAGCCCAGCATCCAGCTCCGGACGAGCGCCGCAACGTCCCGTACAGACCCCACAGGCTGCCCGGTTGGGCCTGTCCACACGTCCCGTACAGACCCCATAGGCTGCGCGGTTGGGCCTGTCCACACGTCCCGTACAGACCCCACAGGCTGTGCGACTGGGTCCGCCCACACGTCCCGTACAGACCCCACAGGCCGCGCGGCTGGGGCCCGCCCACACGTCTCGTACAGGCTCCACAGGCCGCGCGGCTCGGCCCGCCCACGCGTCCCCGTACAGGCTCCACAGGCTGCGCGGCTCGGCCCGCCCACACCGCCGCTCCACCCACCGGAGAACGTGTTGCTGTAGTAGCGCTGCATGGTCTGCACAATGTCGTTGCCCTGCGAGCCCCAGTGGGCCATGTTCCGGTAGGTGCGGATGCGGTGCACGAGCTGCGAGCCGCCGTACTGCAGTGCCAGCATGTCGCCGTGATCCTCGTACATGTCCTCCAGGATCGACATGCAGTCGGTGTCGAAGTCGAGCTCCGGCGAGGGGATCGCGCCCAGGCTGAACAGCTGCAGGCAGCGGGCACTGGTGAACAGCTAGGCATGGTGGGGGCGGCCAAAAAGCTGTGGACGACAGGGGCGGAAGAACACCTACGGAAGGGCAAGGGCTGCCGAGCAGCTGCCAGGGGCCTGGAGGGGGCAACAGCCTGACAGTGATGGAGAAACAATGGCAGACAACACGTGGGCCAGGATTACACGAAGCCCGGCTAACTCTTGGACAACAGGGGCCAGACACTGGTCAAGATGGTACGCCGGGGTTCGCCATGACGACAAGAATCAGAGAGAAGGTGTGAATGACAGCTCCAGCACTACAACGAGGTTCCTCGCTGGAAAAGTGATGGCGTTTCTCATCAACTTGTGGTGTCAGAATATGATCTCACAAACAGGAACACTGTAGCGTAGTGAGGAAATCTACCCGATACGCAGGCCACGTCACCTGGGCCCCAGCGTCCGGGGCGGGAGGGGGACCAGCACCCGAGGTGGCACACAACCTGTGACTCAGCGTCGGGGCGGGAGAGGGAACCAGCGCCCGGGCAGCACACATCTGGGACTCAGCGTCCGGGGCGGGAGAGGGACCAGCACCCGGGCGGCACACACCTGTGACTCAGCGTCCGGGGCGGGAGGGGGACCAGTACCCGGAGTGGCACACACCTGTGACTCAGCGTCCGGGGCGGGAGGGGGGACCAGCACTCGGGCAGCACACACCTGTGACTCAGCGTCCGGAGCGGGAGGGGGACCAGCACTCGGGCAGCACACACCTGTGACTCAGCGTCCGGGCGGGAGGGGGACTAGCACCCGGGCGGCACGCACCTGGGCGGCCAGCGCCGACTTGCCGATGGCGAACTGCGCCGTGTTGGTGCGGTCCAGGCAGTCGACACAGTTGACCCGCACGATACCGCGCTGGCGGAGGCCGCCGCTCGCCGCCGCCGACTGCCGGCACGCGGGCGCCGCGTGACAGCACAGGGCACGCGCGGCCCGCGAGGCTACACGGGTACAACCCAGGCATACCATTACACGGGACATTATACACGCCGCAGATATAACTGAGTCCGGCGGGGGACATCAGGGCAGCAAATGTAATCAAAATACGACCGGTGGTGGTCCTGTGGGCTCAACGGCACTTCAAGTATGTAGCTGTACAGTATCCATGATGCCGTTGTTGGACATCGCTAAATAAAATGGCTCAAAGGGAATGTTTCGCATTTGAAGAAATCAAACAAGCATCAGATAGGCTGAAATAAGCTCAACTATGACTATTGGGATACTTTTAAGCGGAAAAAATGCTCCAGACAGCACAATTCTCTGGTTAGTAAATGCGCTCCTCAGTACGTGGTGGTTTGATTACGTCACCGTACCTCGCATAACACTGACTGAGCGTCAATTGATGGCCGTAATTCTGGAAATCGTGCTCACGAACGCTTTGACAATGCTATTCGCCTTGGACCTGATCACCGCATGAGTTACGGAATGGCAGAATTTGAATGACGCCAATATGACGTCATTACTGCAATGGGGGCTTTGTAATGCTTTCCCGATATACCGTTTCCTTTTTTTCTTGGGTCTGTGGCAAAGAAACTAAGGGGGCTTTGGTCTTAAGAAGGGAGGATTGTGAACCTGTGAATACTATTGTGTAGGAATAATAAAAAACCTTGCAATGAAAGTAGCACCTTTCAACTTTCTGCGGTTGTTCCTCGGTTGATCTAGACGCAGCCTCTGTAAACGCCCGCAAACCACAGAAATCAGCGCCAGTTGACGTCGCCGCGCCCGGGGGCAGCGACAGGCACCGGCAGCCCGATCCAGCAGCTCAGTCTAACAGCGGTCCGCTGCTAGTCAACCGGACTGGCGCCAGCCTCGCCTCCTCACCTGGGCACACTCCAGACGGATACGGACATCACCTGGTTACCTGGACATGTTCCAGACGGGCAAGGACGGAACCTTCTCACCCGAATATGCTTCGCATGGACATTGAAATCACTGGTCACCTGGATATTGTCGCCAGTTCATATGGATATAACTGCCTGCCGCACTTGTCGAAATTTCAGAAGGACCATCTCAAGACGTTCATGTGCTCCGCTGGAACTACACACATACTTACCAAGGCGGGGTCCCTCGTCACCCCTCATTAGCACTCAACAACTTGCAAGGGCGTCGCCATCGCTCAGCGGGACACCCTCGCCCCCGTGAGCTCTCGCCACCCCTCACCAGAACTCCTGAGGACGTCTTCGCCGCTCAGCGGGACCCCATGTGTTCTGGTCACCGCTCACAGAGACACCAGTGAATCCTCGTCAGCACTCAGCGGGACTCCCGATGCCCCCTGCTCACCGACTCAGTTTGCCCCGCAGCCCCGGCCCGGCGGGAGGCCGCTCTCCCGACGGAAGGCCGCTCACCTGCGCCGGCAGCGGCGAGGCGTACCGCTCGCCGGCGTTCTGCGGCGGCCGCGACAGGAACAAGCCCGTTTCCCTGAGCGAGCTGTTGGCGATCTCCGTCAGCCGCTGCATGACGCTGTCACGCCGCCTGCCGGCCGCACAGCGCGCCGCTCGGTCAGACCGGGGCAAGAGGTCGGCTCGCTCCGGTGCTGGGGTCAACCCGGCACAGGACAGACCGGCACCTGCGAGCCCCGTGATCAGGACACCTCTTGGAAGGCTGGGCTGCCGCCGAGGAGATGCTGTCGCGCGCATGCAAGGTTCTCCTTGGCTTGGAAGTAGCGACTGAGTTGGAACGTAATGCGCACGGATGCTCATTGGGTTTCCCATACGGCATACCACATGAATGTGGCCACGCTCCCAGTCGCCTAAGGCCACACTTCACTTCACTTGAACCGCGGCACGCACGCTGCTCAGTAGCTGGTGCTGTACAACCGACATTCGCGGATGGTTGAAACGCGGGCAGACACTGCAGAGGCATGATCTGGACGCCGTACTACGTTTCGCTGTCTAATCGTACACTTTGACTTAATGGATGACTAAACCACTTCAAACTAAATAAATCTGGACCTGCGAAATGAGAGATTTTCACATATGACGAGGGCTTCAGGATTTGCAGGAAGGGAGCATTACAACGGATTTAACTATACAGGCAAGTTTTGTTGTTTTGTTCTGTTTTAGAAACGTCCGACTTAACCATCACTTAGGCCGAAGTTAGTCACCATCAATGTCCATTCGCCTATTGTTTGATCCTTGTTTGATCCAAGTTAGAACCGGTATTCAGTAAACATCCTGATGCACTTTTGTGTCTGCCCGTATCAAGAAACAGTGATGAGACCAACACATCCGGCATGGGGCGGCCTTTAGGACACGGACGCTCTGTCCAAATGCATGGCTCGCACACCGCCAGCCCACTGCCATCCCCTGGCCCTGACCGCCAGCCCACTGCCATCCCGCGCCCCTGACCGCCAGCCCACTGCCGTCCCCCGCCCCTGACCGCCAGCCCACTGCCATCCCCTGGCTCTGACCGCCAGCCCACTGCCATTCCTCGCCCCTGACCGCCAGCCCACTGCCGTCCCCCGCCCCTGGCCGCCAGTCCACTGCCATCCCCTGGCCCTGACCGCAACCCCACTGCCATCCCGCGCCCCTGACCGCCAGCCCACTGCCATCCCCTGGCCCTGACCGCCACCCCACTGCCATCCCGCGCCCCTGACCGCCACCCCACTGCCATCCCGCGCCCCTGACCGCCAGCCCACTGCCATTCCTCGCCCCTGACCGCCAGCCCACTGCCATCCCCCCGCCCCTGACCGCCGGGCCACCGGGCTCTTACAGCTTGTTGGCCCGCGCCATGTCGAAGCTGACACGGCCAGCCCACTGCCATCCCTCGCCCCTGACCGCCAGCCCACTGCCATCCCCCGCCCCTGACCGCCGGGCCACCGGCCTCTTACAGCTTGTTGGCCCGCGCCATGTCGAAGCTGACGTATCGGATGCTGAAAGCGGGCGGCAGGAACTGGTTCAAATAGGCGACGGCGCGGCTAAAGGCCGCATGCAGCAGCGACTCGTGCGACCGCTTCTCCCGCTTCTTCACCAGGTTCACCACGAACAGCGGCGCGCCGTACCGCGACAGCAGGTCGTTCAGATGCTTCCCTGCGGCAGGAGAGCGCCGGGAGTCAGCTGACAGTGAGACGAGGGCGACCGATGCCGTCCGGAAGGGTGGGGACCGACGACATACACCCGGCGGCGTGGCAGTAGCGACGAGTGCGGTCAGGCGGCGCTCGCGGCCATGAAATATTGACACTAGGCAGGGACACACTGCTGAAGGAGGAAAACAGGTCACCGCCAGGTACGCGCAGAAATGGGGTACCAACAGATGGTGGCGGTAGTGAATCAAACGCAGATGAAAAGACGCATGTCATGAAGATGGTTGAAAGCTCACTGTAAAGGCCGCGAAAGTCACGGTTTGTGCACAATTGGAGTCCGCGGATCCCTACCGCTACAACTGCCATCGACTGCGAGGACCCGACCGTGTCGTCCGAGTCCTGACTTGAGGCAGTCAGCGCCAAGCCCGTCAGTATCTAGTAAATTTGTAACGTCGAAAGTACATGATGTATCAACGACAACCAACAATTATCGATTGAATATGACTGAAGAACAAAGCCCTTGTGAACACCACCTAAAATTACAGGACAGCCCGGCAGCTGTGGGCCGCTTGCAGTCGGTTAAATCCCGGTTCCCACCGGTCCCCACAGAGCGCAGTAGGTGTTCGAGGCACGGGACGGCAGGGCCGCGCGCGGCGGCCGCCGGGGCCGGACTGACCGGGCGTCAGGTAGCACGGGTCGGCCAGCTCCATCTGTATCGGCGGCTTGGGGATGCGGCTGGTGTCCTGGTACCAGTGGCACGGCACCGAGCCGCGCACCTGCCCGCCGGCACGGCAAATACCTCGCATCACACGCGGCGACGCCACACAACACTGCGGACCTGGCCGCTGCAGTCAACATTGTACCATGTACAACCGGCTGGGACGCCCAGCACCGCTAACACGGCCACAACCGCCCGGTTCAAACAGCTCTACACACCACATCTCTCTACGGATGTCAGTGAACGACAGTATCTCGTGATAACCTTCAGTTGTTGGCATCACTCAGAGGAAATTTGCTCAAGACTAAAGTCAGCGCAGCGACATTGTTTCAGCGGTGACTTGGCAAAGCTGCTAAAACATGGTCAAGTTGGCGTAGCCAAGAGCCAAATCCAGGTAACGCACACACCACACATACGTGGCTACGACACCCCACCCAACCACATAACTCAGAAGCGAACAATGCCACGGCTCTCTCGCTAGACCCACCGAACCCCGGCCTCGACCGCTCATTACACACTGTGCTCACCTGGACATGTGAGCTGAAGAAGCCGCGCTCCAGGGAAGAGACGCAAGCGTCGTGCACGATCTGCTCCGTCTCCACCTCGTTGGCGACGTCGCCAGCGAAGCTGGCCCCTCTCTTCAGGAAGCGGGTGCCGGCGAACTTGCTGCAGGTCATGGGAGTGGGCACTGACTCATGTCTGTCGATTACGGCATCCCTGGCCCGCACTCCACTGACTCATGTCTGTCGATCACGACTTCCTTGGCCCGCACGCAAGAACATAATGCTAGCCAGAAAAAATAACGTCATCTATGTTTTGGAAAGCTTGGGCAAAATGTGAGATTTACACGCAAATGTGTGCTGCTCTGCGATTTTGTTTGAACACGTGACACACGAGCCAGCACGCCTACCGAACAATCCGCGCGAGGGCTCAGTCACACATCTGCTCAAGACACACATCACCTCATCTTCTGGCAAAAAGGCCACCCGCTCGGTAACGTCTACTCCGGAATTCCCGCACGCAAAATAATCAATCATTCTTTCAACGCGTAAACACCAATGTCCCGATATAATCTGCGGTCAGGACAAACCAGACCCCCGGACCGGCATACTCTAGTCAAGTCGACCCACATCCTAGCATTTCCAGCACAATCCGTAAGACCATCGGGGGATCACGTTCACTAAAATACCGCAAACTTGCTGCAGCTGCTAATTCGTAGAGAGTCCTCGTAAGCCACTCATGCACTCTTCTTTAACCATTTTTTTTGTGGGGGGGCAAAATGTTGGCTTCAACATCGGCTGTAGCAAATGTCACTAGACTGTAGTAGTACCGGCTTCTACATCCTGGGTAGCACCGAACTGTGCGCCGTACCAAGACTGTATTCACACTGCGGTGGTGGGGTGATGACAGCACCACGGGACATGCCATTGTGAGCTGTGGAAAAATGTACGAGTGACGAAGCCTTCGTTGTGGACCTCTTGGAGTTCAAAAACTGCTTTTCGGGCTCACACATTTCTTTTCATCCCAGACAGAGAGCAGCTGGTAGGCCTTTTTGGCAGACCCAGCCGCGCTAGCAGCGTGGTACTGTGGAGTGCGCGCAGCCAGCACGAGCAGCACACGCTCGCCGCATGACGCGCGCTGCAGGCTGACCTGGATCGGCGCGCGATCAGCGTCAGGAAGAGGTGCCGGCCGTGCAGGTAGAGCGTGGCCTGGCCGATGTAGCCGTGCGTGACGTACAGGCGCCACTCCCAGCTGAGCTGCCGCTCGGCCGGCGCCAGCAGGTGGCCGTTCCAGACGAAGCGCCGGTGCGGCTCGGGCCGCACGCCGGCCGTCGGCTCGCGCACGCGACCACCCGGCGCCAGGCTGTCCGCCGCCGCCGCCGACACATCAAACGTGAAGCGCGCCTCCTCCACACGGCCTGGGTGTCACACCCAGCGGCGTCACACACAATCCTCCCGTCACACCCAGTGGCGTCACACACAATCCTTTCATTACGCCCAACGGCGTCACACACAATTCCCCGTCACACCCAGCGGTGTCACACAATCCTGTCGTCCCTGTGCACCAGTGTTTCGGAGAGTGGTAGAGGACTTCATGCCCTCATTCGGGGCAGGTGGGGACCATCCAGGAGCCGGGGATGCACCGCCCGGTCGGGCACGTGCCGTGAGCCCGGACAGGTGGGACCTGTCCAGGAGCCGGGGATGCACCGCCCGGTCGGGCGCGTGCCGTGAGCCCGGACAGGTGGGGACCTGTCCAGGAGCCGGGGATGCGCCGCCTGGTCCGGCGCGTACAACCATGGCCTGGAAACGGCCGCGTACAAGAGGGGTGACGCAACCGGTCATGCATGGCGGCGCGCGATCGATGTGCACGACGCTCATACGCTGGCTAGTGCAACCGGTGCTACTCAGCGGCGAATGCCATACCCGTTACTCTGTGAAAACAAACAACCTCCCTGGATTTCTCGCTGTCTTATCGTACTGCGTTTGGGGACACCTCCCACAACAGCAAATCTCGAAAGAACCAGAAAACGCAAGTCTGCAACAACATTTTTTGCAGAGCATTACCAACTCCCCTCTCAACAGGTAGGACACGTCATAGCCATACCTTCAGTCGCTGTTCCTGTTTTGAGGAAGTCATCGCCGAACAAAGCGTTGACATCTTCTGGGGTCAACTTAGGCATGGCGGCGTTGTACTGCAGCGTATGGGTCAGGTCATAGCTGTAGCTGAAACAGTCCCCACCACGGCTGTAGGCGGCCCGTCGTCAGTGGGTTCGACGCTGACAGTGCCGCCCGGGCAACCACATAGCGAGCTCATCACAGTGGACTACTTCGAAGAGAACACAAACAGTATGCCCGCGTTTTACCAGGGAACATCAGAGAACAACATACAAACATGGTCCTTCAAGACAATACAAGTATCTGCGCTTTCACACACTTCTGGGATTGCCTCCAGCGGTGCGTGAAATGCCACTCTGAAGTCCAAATATCCCCAGCAATATAAGAATACGGCAAGATTCGCCCGTGACAACGGCCATCAAAATATCGACACAAAAGAGAAACGCTCCCACACACAGTGGTTTTAAAATACATCCAGCCTAACCGAAAACGTAGCCTTACTAGTCGACAACCCGAGCACAAAAAACGCGCCAGGCAACACTTCTGGGTCGCTTAACACTTATCTGACAGACCGAAGAGAACGGCACGGAAAGAGGACTGTTCCCGAAAAATTGCGTAAAGTAAGCTAACACCTTCACCAAAAGATGTTATTCCCTTCCAGAAAATGCATATTTTCCCGAATACTTAGCAGCCACCACTAGCACAGCCGTACAGCTGACGGCCCACCTGAAGTAAAAGTTACTGCCCATGGCGATGCTCTGAAAGAGGCGCAGGTAGCGCTGCTCCTCGGGGCTCGACTTCTTGGTCTGGTTGGGGATGTAGATCATCTTGGTGTCTTCGATCTTGTAGATGACATGCGGTCCGATGACGGCCACGCGCCGCCGCTGCGTGATGACGATCATGTAGTAGCCCTCCGTAAAACGGACGAACCCTGCGGCGGGACCACGGCAGCCGTTACATCTGACGGAGCAGGCGTTTGCGGACAGCGGACAAACCCGGAGCAAACGTGCAGGCCCCACTCTGCCCCCTCCCCTCTGCCCCACCACGGTCTTGACAGACATGCGATGAACTAGTTACGCTGTCGCGTGATGTACACGGTACAAAAGTAATGCAAAACGCGCGAAAACGAGCGACCGCCAGTATGCTGATGATGTTTGTGCGTCGCATTTCCTCTACAAAGGCAACACTCGAACACATCTTTCAGTACAAGATCTCATTTTAACAACACATAACTCTGCGCAAACTTGACGTGCGTGCGTGCGTGCGTGAATGTGATACATGCCTACTATATGCATGTGCGCGTTCCCGGGGGTGGGCGTGGGCGTGGGCATGAGCGCGTGTGTATGTGTATGTGTATGTGCATGTGCATGTGCATGTGCATGTGCATGCGCGTGCGCACGTGTGTGCGATGCATGACTACTCGCGCATTGAAGTTCATTCAGACTCAGTTTGCCAAGACCTGCAAATGCTGTCATCGTCATGTAATTGAGCATTCAAGGCAGAGGTTGTAAAAGGCTCTCACTCTAATCTAAGACGACATAGCCAAGGCGACAATATCAGCCGATGTGAGCGGCGTCCACCGAGCATGCCCCCGCACTGACCGACGATGCCGAATGCGGAGACCCTCCTGACGAGCCCCTGGGCGTTGGCGCCGGACGCACGCAGCCGGTTGCCCTCGTCCAGACTCCTCATGATGTCCCGTATCTCGGCGGCCGAGTACTCGAGCGCGTCGTCCACGATCAGCAGCTCCCGCGACTCCGTGCGGTCCAGTTTCAGCACGCGGAACCGGTCCTGCTCGTTGTTGGAGCCAATGACGAAGAAACGCTGTGGCATGAGGTCCGAGCTTAAGGGAACATGCCCGGGGTAACGCTGAAAACAATGTCATTGTTTTCGTGTTTTGAAGGACGAAAAAGTCATTCCATTCGGTATGAACACGCATACATCTATCTGTAGTACTCTGGAGCCATACAATGGCAGCCAGTCTGACAACATAATGATGTTAAAGCTGCTCTGTAAAATCAACAGTTGCCATTATGTGTTGAATTATATGATTGAGGTACTCACTGCTTTTGTTTCATAAACACCAACTTTCTGTATGGATGATACCAATGTCACAACCTTGACATGTTTCTTCTCTTCTGACTCTTCCATAGTTATTCGTGCTCACTCTTCAGCCAACCACCTAGTGGGCAGAGATATATCAAAATTCGTCGATGTCAGCATTCAAAGATTTTGTAAATATTTGTGTCTGCCATAATACCCAAACCTATTAGGTCACCACAATGCAGAAAACCTTGCTGAAAAGCCAGATACTTGACTATGACTGAATACTTTCCAAGATAAAAATGCCCCTGTTTATCCATGGAAAGATCTGTATTGAAAGCCAATGAAATGAAATGAAAGTCAAATTATGTGATACTTGCATGTTAAAATACATGACTTGACAGGAACAGTTTTTATTTGATTTCACAGTACTTGCTGGTACTTGTGATAAGACAACTTGGTTTCTTATGAATAACATGAATACAATCCCACAATACAAATGAGCCCATTTCACTCCGGACAACTGCCAATATAATGACAGATGCACAACAGACTAGTATTGATGAGCTACAACTTCATTTCACCAGCTCATGGAGGAATAATTGATGGAAAGTATCCCTAAGTCCAAGATCTGGTGAGAATAAGGTTATTTGCTCTGTTGCCACATAAAACTGCCTTTTCCAGACATAAATACTAAAGTGTGGTAAACATTTTTTTTAAAAATGGGTACATTGTCAAAATATTCAGTCAGTTCAGTGTCATGCATGTCCAGATGTCTCTATTTGTCAGGCTATCACACATGAAACCCTGGATTCACTGCCTGTTGGTCCTAGCCTTGCATGTGGTCAGCCAATCAGCATCAAGCTGGATGGCAGTCAACCCAGAATCAAACAGATCAGATGCCCCTTGGTCTGCAAATGGGCCAGGCAAGCCAGATGCATGAATCACCAAGTCAGATGGGAGGGATGGTTGTGGGGTCCAAGGGCAAGTGCAGATGTCACCACAGAACTGGAAGCCTGATAGCAATAATTGAAATTTACACCTTATGCACCCTACTGAATAAAATTTGGAATGATGAATGGGTACATTTTACTGTTTGGCACTGCTTCAACCTAAAAAATGTCAATAACAATAGCATCCTTCTGGTGTTCCCAATAACAATATGGCAGTCACCAGCAGCAGTAGGGCAAAAAGTGATCAAGGTGACAATCCACTAATACAAATGATAAGACATGTCCAGCCTGTCATCCACTAGCTGGTTGTTGATTGAAAGTCCCCCAGAAGACAATATTAAATTATCATCTTTTGACATCTAATAGGATCCAATCCAATCCAATCCAATTCAATCTGATCATGCAACCAACCATCTAGTCCATCTGATGAACAAACCATTGGTTGTTGGTTGGATGCTTCCAAGACATCATTATATCAGCTGGGAATACAATATAGGGACATGGCAAATAGGGCAACATGATCATGGGTATCATCATACACCATTTTGTACAATGCAGGGATAGAAAAAGCATCCAATCATCACATATTTTTCAAAATGGCATCTTCTTTTGATAGAATGCAGTGATGGAAAAAGGATAACAGGGGGCGGTCTCCACACGATAAAATCATTGCTGTATGGCGCTGCCCCTCCGAGTATGTTTTCCAGTATAACGAGCACGTTTTTAGTCTGGTTTAGCACTTGGTTCAAGCTTGGGTTGGGGACATACCCCCATGGCCCCTTGGGCACGCTCCTGCCTCTATGTGAGAAACAAGGTGTAAACATACCAAGAACATACTCCAGAGCAAATTCAATATCACCGCACTGACATAACTACCAATGACGTACCCTCGATGTTCGGCCGCAGTCTTGTAGAAGCCGAGCGCTTCACATTTGAAACACGGTCGCCATGACTGTTCTAAGTGCTAATAAAAGTGCGCCACTAAATTCAGCGGCTTTCATGAAACAAACAGCACGGATCAGCAATCTCTTGAAAGAAATGTTCCGCATTTAAAGATATCCAGGCAAACATCAGACAGTTTGGTAATAGCCCACTCCTAACTATTTGTATTATTTCAGTTTTACTTCGCTAAACATCATACTTTCATTGAATTTATATCTGTTAAATGGAACGTTCCATATTTGAGACAAACATGAGGTGTGATGAAATAAGCTCATTTGCAAATATTTACATGCTTTTAATTATAAAAGACTCCTGTACGCAAAACAAATACGATACTTAGTACTCAAGCTCCTCGATGCATCTTCGTTTCTTTGCGTCGCGGAATGTGTGTACGACGGAGTTGTTGGTAATGCTGTACATTTGAAGATATTGACGCAAGCATCAGGTGTGATGAGATCAGCTAACTTGGGCAAGTTGTATATTTTGAAGCAACGGTGTCGATTCGGATTTTTTTTGCGTGGGCCACTGCCCCCCCCCCCTCCACCCCCTATCGGTAGTCCCCATCTGCGGTTTGCCCCTCCCCCCACCCCAACCTTCTGGAACCTAAGTATGAACATGCAGAACATTCAAAGCAAGTGCTCAAAAGTATGTTGAATCTTGAGGTATATAATAGTTGTTTCAGTGGTAAAAGCAACAGAGGAAGTGCAAACTGCTATGCAAGTTTAAGTTCAGTGCAGCAGACGGAGAAAGTCGAACTTTTAGAGCTCCGCGTTCGTACCACATATGCTGGAGCATTTGTTGTTTTTGCTGCTTCCGAATTTTATATTTCCACAATGAATATGTCTCGCTACTTCTAGTCTAGTTTTGTGTTACTGCATTATCGTTTTAACATCATTTAGCGCTGTCTCAAGCTCCATGGGCTGCAACCAGCTGCGTTCGCTGTTATATTCTGCCACGACGTGTCATCGAGAGATAAATTACGCCGGTCGATTATAAGCACCCAAAAGCATACTTTTTACTAGCCGCCATGTTGGAAAGAATCCTTGAAATCTGCCGACATCCAATTCGACGCGGACATTGAATGGACATTTACGAAAACCTAACAATCGAAACCGTACGACTTAACCGACAGCGGTAAGCGTCCGATAATGGTCTGCAAAACAACATTGGGCGCTTCAAACATGCCTATCGTGAATGATGCGCTGCAGCCCGTGACCCGCCTGGCGGCTACCTGCCCGGGGCTTCCCTGGCAGCCTTTAATAGTCACACACATCAAAATACCCCATTTATTCCCGAAGCCATACACCGGTCCAACAACGTCTAAACACGCATAGCGCCGATCCTACATCGATTACCGAAAGCTGGTTTCGACCTTTCAAACCGAACAAAATGATAATGAAGCCCGATGCCAGCTTATCCCGCCGAGGTAGAGAGAATGCGTCGGAGCTAGAGTATAGTTTCTTATTCATCTAAGAATGTCTCTAGCTCCCTAACTTTGAGAAGAAAGTTAGTCAAATTGGAGATGTCTGTTTCTTGCATATTTTGGGGGCGGGGCAGGCCATTTTCCCTGCTCAGTGACCCAAAGCTGTTTTGCGAAACTGCACCTCTGCGATGGAGGCTCCATGACCGTCACACGCGACGGATTCACCATCACAGTATCTCAACGCTCAGCCCACAGCACCGTTGCAAAGTGGAAAGCTTCGGAGTCAAGAGAGTTCTATTAGCCTAGCCAAGAGGCAGGTGAATCAAAATCGCCGTGAGGTGATTGGTTGCTTACGCCAACCACTTGGCGGCATCACAATTTTCAAGGATTTCAACCGCATTGAAGACGAATTGAAAACTGAATCGTGCTCTCGTACTGCACATTGCACACAAACATGAAGCCGAATAAAATACATTGATATCTACATAGCTGTAACTTAGGGTTTAGGAGCTACTATGTTTCTAATACATGCATCTGAAAACATTAATTCGGCGCAAAAACCCGCAAAATATGAATACGTTGTTCAAAATACCAAAACACCAGAACGTACATCATCGACACAATAGTGACAAAAGAGGATCGAACAAACCGATAGCAAGTTTCGCCTTGTCCCGAAGAAGGGAAGGGTCTCATAAAGGCTCAATTTCCTGACGGAAAAGGAAGGGTTTCACAAGTAATCACTTTAGTAAATCGGAAGGAGATCGAATATGTAAAACAGCCGGCCTATGTTTGCCCAAGGGCGTGAATCATTGCTCAGAATTGACTGGTGAAACAAATCATATTGAAAGTATTGAGCCTGCTCTCGTGCAGTGTCCATAACACCAAGCGGCGTTGTCTGCTGCAGACAGGGGGGGGGGGGGGGGGGGGGGGTAAAAGGTGTCAGCTTGGTTGATAAGGTCAGCGATAGGAACGTTTATTTTCACGCAAAGCTTGGTGCCAAACATGCTTTTGACAGAAAACTTGGGTGACGTACACGACAAAATCATACAGCGCACACCGCACAACCCAGCATGATGCCTCCACACTTTACCTCCACGGTGATACATTTCGTCACACAACCCAAGGAAATTTTTCCTTAGGACTCTCCATCACACCGCACCATGACATCTTTGTTAACACGCGCTAAGGTAGGGGTCATATTGGACCCTCCCGAAGGTTTTCCCAGGATGGTTTCCGAACGGCAGAACGAGACCGCGCCAAATTTTGCATAGCTGTAGACAACTGAATAGCGGATCGTTTGGTATCACCAAGTTAGATTTATCTTGTAAGGTCGCTGATCCATAGCAGGTCAAAGTCAGGCCATGGTTTCAGATAAGTCAATTTCTGGGAATCGTTTAATCTGGTGCAAGAACGGAGTATTAGACGAAATCATATATCTCTAAGATGTTTTCTTAGTTAACGCAAATATTGAATGGGAAAATTGTGTTGACCTAAGGTCAGGTATAAAGGTCAGACGAAGGTCAAAACCAACCTGCTTTATTACTCTATGGCTAGCAGTATGGGATAGTTGCTGGTGCTCATTCGGGATTTATTGACAGCAGGAACCGCATCATACAATTTCCATTGACTTTTTAGAGGTCAGAATTGGTCATTGACCTGACGAAAAAGACCCAGGTCAGCATTCTTTTCTAGAAACGTACTGCCTAGCGTAATCCTTGTCGCTTATTTAAATACAAAACCCAGAGCAGCCTTGTATGATTTTGGTCACCGTCACCTTCAAAAGGTTAAACAAGGTCACTGGCCTTAACTGAGCATGTGGCCATTTTGCTTGAAAGCAGTTATCTAGGTTAGGAGGGCACTTTGGAGACCAACCTGGAATTATACCTTGTTTGACCTTATTTGACCCGAAGGTCATGGCCTAGGAACCTAAAACTTAGATCAAAGTGAGGTGAGTTGACGTACAGGTCAGCACACCCTGTACATTTTGTACCTCTAGCTCTCTTAGTTTCCGTGATCTCGGGGGGGGGGGGGTCTAACTGACCCCCCCGACCCGAGCGAAGGATATCTAGCCAGCCACCCGGGCGCGCGTTAAGTTTCATCCCACCCCTGCGACAAAACTATTCAGTGCTTTTCGTAAAGCCCGGTCGGTCGGCCGATTCGCTGTTTTTTTCGATCCGACTCTCAGTCCCCCAAACTAGACAGTATAAAATGCTCAACAAATATCTAGATGTGGGGATTCACCTTTTGCCGCAAGGGCATGTTTCAATCGTTGCGATGCGATTCATATGAGGTGCGCGATGACTTGCAACCATTGGGACTTCGCAACTGGCTTTCGCACTGTAGTGTCATGGACACCTGCGTATGGTTTAATCTTTTGTGCCTAAAAACGGATACTTTTGAGAGCCACTTGGTGACAAAATTACGGAAATAAAAAAATTACGACAGACCATTCCAGCAAGACGAAACTCAAAGCTTAGTATTGGTTTGTACTCGTTAACGCTTGCAGCGTGAGCTTGTGTACAGCACATGTCGAAACGTTAACGTTTCGCTGTATGAGCAAGTTGAGCTGCAAGATGCTGCCTAATAGGGCAACTTTAATCAAGATAATTTTAAGCAGGTGACACAAGTATGCTACAAACTATACTACATCAGTGCTGACGCCACAGATTAGAGGTGACACAACACTTTGACCCTGAGATCAGTGCTTTTCACAGATTTTTCAGCCAAGATTCACTTCACATAACAAGCAGAATGAAATGCAAAATAACTAGGCTAATAACTAGTCGTAAGAATCGTGGCTGGCAGCAGAATCTTGTGACGAGGGTGATCAGTATGCTGTACAGCGTTTTAAAGCTTCGTGCCATTTGAGACAGATGAGCTCGGATGCTTGCTGCACGGCAATGATTTGAGTTCAGTGCAAGGCTGTGCGATGCCGTTGGTTGTGTTTATGTCGTGAGAAGCTGACTGTCTTGAAGAACTTACTAGTCGTCCGATTTTTAAAGGGGTAGTGCGGCTTTTCTAAAGATCTACCAGGGCCTGGTAATAGCGTTAAAAGCCATGCTAATCTAGGAGGCATGTTGTTTGTGGATACCCGAGCTGTAGCTTCAGGGGTCAATAGAGGACATTGGAGCAACACATGTCAAGGATCCACGGCTTCTTACTGCTGAGAGCAACAGCAGCTCTCAGATAAGATGCCGAACATCGCTGGTGTGGACCTCTCACACTGCTCGGCACAACTCAGGCCTAGCGTTCTGACCGGGCTGTGGACAGGCGCGAGACAAAACTCTTTTTAATTGAACTACATTGTATGTAGAGCTGAAGGAAGCTGATAGAGGTGTTCAAAATGTCGTTTGCGTCTGCTAATGCGAGTCTTGCATGTCTTCCGCAATAATTCTTGGGGTCGTGTTAGGAAGTGCTAGGCCTGACCTTGCGCTTAAGGCTGCAATGCAGCGCTGTAGGTCATGACCTTGGGGTCAAATAAGTTCAACAAGTTTGAAATATAGATTGGTCTACAAAGTGCCTCCATAACCTTTATATATATATATATATATATATATATATATATATCTCTCTCTCTCTCTCTCTCTCTCTCTCTCTCTCTCTCTCTCTCTCTCTCTCCCTCTCTCTCTGTTCTAAGCAAAATCGCAAACGTTCATTTTTTAAGGTCAGTGACCATGCTTGTAATCAGTGTAAGACCAGTGACCTTCCGAAGTTCATGGCGACTAAAATCGTACACGACTGCTTAGACTTTTGCTTTTGATTATGTCTGTCAAAGATTACACCAGGCTGTATGTTCCTAAAAACAAAACCGTCACCTGGGCCATTTCAGGCCAGTGACCTGTTGACCTTAAATAAGTCAATGAAGGGTTATAATACGGTTACTGTTTCAACACAATGTGTGATCAACACATTTGAAATGAGCACCAGAAGCTACCCCGCACAGTAAGCCGTAGAGAAATGAAACGGGCTGATTTTGACCTTGGTCTGACCTTTGTACCTGACCCTAGGCCAATGGAATTTGTTCGTTCAATTGTTGTGTTGCCTCAGAAAGTATCTCAGAGGTGCATGGCTTCGTCTAACACTCAGTCGTTGCATTAAATCGAACGATTCCCTTGAAATAGACTTTGCTGAATCCATGGTCTGACTGTGACCTGCAGCAGGTCAGCAATTTTGCAAAGCTTAGCATGTGTTTGCGGAAAGCTCCCATAGAGCTAGGTCACGACCCAGGCAAGCACCATGGGCTCTGTGGTCATGTGATGATTGTGCGTGTGGATTAGTGTTTTTTACTTCATAAACAAACATCAAAACTGCACAAAAACACGTACGACTTTGCTTTATTTAAAAAAGATTTTTAGAGGTTGACTTTTTGACCTAGCCTAGGGCACTTGTCTTGGTAGGGCAAAGCTTCAAATTTTCGCAAAAGATGCCAAATTGATAGGTGAAGAACTACTGACAATTTTGTGCTGCTGCGAGCATTTATTTTTTATCTGTGCTCCAAATCAGTCGAGGGAACTCACCTTCCCCTGCGGCCGGGCACGGGTTGGCTGGAGGAGTGCGCTCTGACGGCGTCAAATTGTCGTCTTATTAGTTGCATTCGCGGTGGAGAAGCAAAGTGCAGGACTGTATATCGCAGGCATAAACGCGAGAATGCAGTTTTTATTTGGTATGCATTACCACTCACAGCTAAGCATGGTTGTTTTGTTCATCACGCTTAGGCGTTTTTGTGTTATATATTTAAGCTTTTGTGAGTTGGGCAGCACTGTCTTAACTTAGGTGCATACCTTTACAGAAGTTGTGTGTTTATTTTATTCCGGTCAAAAACCGGGATGGGAAATCTCGGTGAAAACCATAGATCGGCTGCATCATGCCCTAACGCTTTTTTGAAATAATAAAATGAAAATGAAATTATGAATATGATGTGAAAATTATGAATATAAATGAAAGCTATGAATGAAATGAGGTAAAAAATGAAATGAATATGAATGAAAGTTATGAATAAAATGAAAATGAAATGAAAATTAAAAAGAAAAACGTCTTTCATTTTAATGCCCACCTCAGGTCGCGCCAGTTCCCAGGTCATCCATCAGAGGCATCAGGCTGTGAGTCGGCGCCACTGACTGCCATGAGCCGCCGCACGTTTATTGTGACTAGAGACAGAACATTCTGAGACGCACCTCATCCTATCGCGACACGAGCAATCGCTGCTCCCCTGCGGATGAAACGAGCGATCCCTGCTCCTCTGCGGCTGACAGAAGCAGCTGCGAGGCACAGAGTGGTAGGACGCTGACCCTCGCTGAAACCTCAACTGAGATTTCCACTAAGACCTCCACTGGAACCTCAGCTGAGACCCTCACTGGTGCCTCCGCTGGGACCTTAGGCGGACCTTAGCTGCTACCTCAGGTGGAGCATCACGTGGAACCTCGCTGGGACTTCACTGGGAACTCAGCCGCGATCTCAGGTGGAACTTTCACTGGGACCACAATGGATCCTCAGCTGGGACCTCCGCTGGTGCGTCGGCTTGAGCCCCTGGTGTTGTGTCACTGGGATCTTAGCCAGGAGCTTAACGCGACCGGCTGCGGCCCGGGCCGTATCACAGCACATCGGACACACTACAATAAATACTGGGCGAGCGGACGCTCACCAGGCACATCACATAAGCATTGGTCGCCACAGAGGCGTGGGGCCATCTGACCACAGGGAAGGTCGGAGGGCTTGGTACGCTCCAGAAAAGCTGCCCGAACTTGGAGAGACTCCTTAACTTCGGATTCCGGAGGGTTTAGTACTTCCCGGAGGTTCTAGTAGCTGGCGGGAACGCCGTGCTGCTCACTGGGTGCGCTGCTGGTCTTGTAAGAGGGGTAGGCAGCCGGTGCACTGCTGATCTTGTAAGGATAGGCAGCCGGTGCCCTGCTGGTCTTGTAGAAGGGGTAGGCGGCGGGCGCCGCGGTGCTGGCTGGCGCTCCGTGCTGCTTACTGGGTGCGCTGCTGGTCTTGTACGAGGGGTAGGCAACAGGCGATGCGGTGCTGGTCGGCGCTCCATGCTGCTCACTGGGTGCACTGCTGGTCTTGTAAGAGGGATAGGAAGCCGGTGCGCTGCTGGTCTTGTACGAGGGGTAGGCGACGGGCGCCGCAATGCTGGCCGGCGCTCCGTGCTGCTCACTGGGTGCGTTGCTGGTCTTGTACAAGGGGTAGGCAACAGGCGATGCGGTGCTGGTCGGCGCTCCATGCTGCTCACTGGGTGCGCTGCTGGTCTTGTAAGAGGGATAGGAAGCCGGTGTGCTGCTGGTCTTGTACGAGGGGTAGGCGACGGGCGCCGCAGTGCTGGCCGGCGCTCCGTGCTGCTCACTGGGTGCGTTGCTGGTCTTGTACGAGGGGTAGGCGACGGGCGCCGCAGTGCTGGCCGGCGCTCCGTGCTGCTCACTGGGTGCGCTGCTGGTCTCGTAAGAGGGATAGGAAGCCGGTGCGCTGCTGGTCTTGTACGAAGGGTAGGCGGCGGACGCTGCGGTGCTGGCCGGCGCCCCGTACTCCTCAGAGGGCGCCGTCGTCGACTTCGCGTAGCTCTTGCTAGAGGCGCTGTACGTGCGCGGCGCATACGTAGGGCGGACCTGAGGGCGCGAGTACCCCTGCTCGCGCCAGGAGTAGCTCTGATGCTGGGCGCTGCTCTGCTGAGGGCGCGAGTAAGTCTCCTGAGCGCGCGAGTAGGTCTGCTGGGGACGCGAGTAGGTCTGCTGGGGCTTGGCAGCGGGCCTGGGGGCGTAGCCCTGCTGAGGCCGGGAGTAGCTCTGCTGGGGCTGGGCGCTGCTCTGCTGGGGCCGAGAGTAACTCTGCTGGGGCTGGGCGCTGCTCTGCTGGGGCCGGGAGTAGCTCTGCTGGGGGCGCGAGAAGGTCTGCTGGAGGCGCGAGTTGGTCTGCTGCTGCCTGGTAGCGGGCCTGGGGGCGTAGCCCTGCTGGGGTCTTGCGGCGGGCTTGGGGGCGTAGCCCTGCTGGGGCCCGGCAGTAGGCCTGAGGGCGTAGCCCTGCTGAGGCCCGGCAGCGGGCCTGAGGGCGTAGCCCTGCTGGGGCCTGGCAGCGGGCCTGGGGGCGTAGCCCTGCTGGGACTTGGTGGGCGTCAGCGCGGCCTGGTAGTCGCCCTGCGCTTGGTAGCCGCCCTGCTTGGCGTTGGGATACTGGGCCTCGCCCTGGTAGCTGACCTCGGCCACGTAGCCGGCGTCGCCCTGCACGGTGTAGGTCACAGTCTGGACGCGGCCGTCGGGCAGCGCCACCGAATAAGAGCCCTCAGTGTCGTAGCCGTCCCTAATCTCCTTGTGGTTGTACTGGTTGTAGTCCTCGTCCACGCTCCACTCGAACGAGTACCGCGCAGGGCCGCTCTGCGAACGAGTCGCGTTTGAGCCGTGCGTGCTGGCTGCTGCACACTTTCCTATTGCCCAAATGTGTGCTGAATAATGAGTGAACGAATACAAAGCTACAAAAATACGAATATTTGTAACAATAAAAATAATTGTAAAAGGATGGATAATCGGGCGATCACAAGATGAATGCATGAATGTTTTAATTATATTATAATATATGAATAAGTAACTGCACGACTGTGTACGAATACAGCGCAAGCCACGGTTTTGACTCACTCAAAACTGTTCACAACTTCACCATGTAAAACATTACAATATTGATAAAATAGAAAAGGAGGCTAAACGCGACAAACAACTGACCTTCGAAATCATGGGTTACAGGTCATTTGACTATCTCGCTTAATCAAAGTTATGGACAAAGACAAAATCAAATTACCTCCTCCTGATAGCCGGTTCCCTTTAGGGCGGGAGCTTCGCTGTACCTGGGGGCTGCTGCGGGCTTAAAGCTAGGGGCGGGAGCGGGCTGGTAGCTGGGGGCGGAAGCAGGCTGGTACCTGGTGGCCGGTGTGGGGGCGGGGCGATAGCTGGGGGCCTCCGTGGGGACGGGGCGGTAGCTCGGGGAGGGAGCGGGCTGGTAGCTGGGGGCGGGAGCGGGCTGGTAGCTAGGGGCGGGAGCGGGCTGGTAGCTAGGGGCGGGAGCGGGCTGGTAGCTGGGGCTGGGAGCGGGCTGGTAGCTGGGGGAGGGAGCGGGCTGGTAGCTGGGGGCGGGAGCGGGCTGGTAGTTGGGGGCGGGAGCGGGCTGGTAGCTGGGGGAGGGAGCGGGCTGGTAGCTAGGGGAGGGAGCGGGCTGGTAGCTAGGGGCGGGAGCGGGCTGGTAACTAGGGCTGGGAGCGGGCTGGTAGCTGGGTCTGGGAGCGGGCTGGTAGCTAGGGGCGGGAGCGGGCTGGTAGATGGGGGCGAGAGCGGGCTGGTAGCTAGGGGCGGGAGCGGGCTGGTAGCTGGGAGCGGGAGGGGGCTGGTGGCTGGGGCTGGGGGCGGGCTGGTAGCTGGGTCTGGGAGAGGGCTGGTAGCTAGGGGCGGGAGCGGGCTGGTAGCTGGGGGCGGGAGGGGGCTGGTGGCTGGGGCTGGGGGCGGGCTGGTAGCTTGGGCTGGGAGCAGGCTGGTAGCTAGGGGCGGGAGCGGACTGATAGCCGGGGGCGGGAGCGGGCTGGTATCTGGTGGCCGGCGTGGGTGCGGGGCGGTAGCTGGGGGCCTGGTTCGGAACGGGGCGGTAGCTGGGTGCAGGGGCAGGAGAGGAGCTGTGGTATTGGGCGGACGCAGCCGCTGCCACGGCGAGCACGATCAGCACCTGCAGAGACGGCATTGGTCAGGTTGATGGCTGTCTGTCATGCCTAGGGCAGAAATTTACAGGCATTACCACTACCATGCAGCGTTGCCGAATGCGATTCTGGATATTCTAAAGAACATGTGTTAGTAGCGTCGTAGCCGGATAAGCAAAGAACCCAGCTGCAGGTAGTTCAATTTTAAGCCCGTTGTATGGCCTACACGGTATGCAAACGGATTGTGGTGTGTTGGTAACTGTTCTGAGAAAACTAGCTTGATGGTAAACGCTTTCATTATAGAAGTATTTTGCAGAACACAAACAAAGCTAGCACATGAACGATTGTCTGACCAAACGAGCTGACACGGAAGATCCAACATGTCTGAAAACCCGCGGTACTTTGTCGCGACAATGTGCGCCACGTAAGGTAGCAGTGCATCTTTTCCGCTAGGTAACGTTTTACGTAACGGTTCGACAACTAATCCAGCAGAGACTCATGAAGCAGAAACACCTTACATCCAAGGAAGTGTTAATGACGTGACCATGACGTACAAAGCTAACTGGGCCCCGTGAGCCACCGGGACGGTTCGCCCCGCGCACCGTAGATCCCACACGCTTCCCCGCTGACACGGCACGTCAGCCACGCAGCTAAACCAGCGGGGCGCCTCCTCACCTTCATGGCAGTTCGGCTTCTCCTGGCGTGTCAGCTGTTGAATTACTGCGGTCACTGGTGTCCACTCCCGAGCACCGGAGTGTTTTATACCAACGGCGACCGACTGCCACCTGGGTGTCAGTTTTCCAGAAGTGTGGCAATGTTGCAGAGACATTTAATGGGCGCAGGTCAGCATTGCGGCAGCCTTGAGAAAATTGGGACGTATCCATGGGAACGGATCGTGCCGAACGGCCGGGAGCGCCCCCTCGACGGTCAGACATGTGATTTTCCCGGCGGATATTCGCAATGGTGACGCCAGACGCGCCCCGACCGACCGAACGTGACCGGGTGTGGGCGGCGGCGCCCTCCGGCGGTCCTCTGCGCCGCGGCGCGGCCCGGCAGCGCCCGGACAGTCATCGTGTTCGGTGCATGGTGTGAGCACTGGAGCCGCCAAGAACCGTACCAACCAGGTGCCATTGGTAGAAATGTGATGTTCACTTGCAGTCGTGTCTTAGCGCTGAGAGCCCATCACGAAGGAAGTCGATCCGGGAGTTACAGATTTATCCTTAGATTGGGTTGCACTGGATTGGATGTTTTACCAATGACGTGAATCTGACGCGCATTCGATCTTAGCATTGAACACGCCTGTTCGGATTGGAACGGATTTTGACATCAGTTGTCACCCCATCAAGACGCGAATATGCTCCATGGGATGCAATTTCTTCTCTGAAATCGGTTGAATTAGTATGCCCATGCGGTTGCACGCTTGCTCTGCTGCACTGATAAAATTACCGAAATTTTAATCATCTTTTTCTTCCAGTTTGAATCACCGTTGTAGGTGCCGTGGTTGTCGAGATACGGCGCCAAATGTGACAAGCGGCCGGTAACGGCCAAATAGGTCTAGCTGGCTCGCGCATGCGTGACACACAGCACATTCGACACGACAATTCATGCAACGCGATTGTTCAATTCCACATCAACGCATGGCACTCCCAGTGGCTCCACGCCCTGGGTGCTGCGATGCGTACAAAATTCAATCTTTCCGGAGCACGTGGGTGTGACACGTAACATGCGCGCACACACACACGTGGAAACACACCACTGGCCGTTCGATTCCTTACTGCGTCATATGGTCTCGTTAACTACATGCTCTGAGTGCGGAAATGTGGCGCAAGACGTAAAAACCGATGAAATCAGCAACGTGGACCTTCACAGCTGGTGCGCATGTGGAACGCGGCACGAACGACATCACATCTTACATCACGTGATTGCCCGTTAGATTGTCTGTCGAAGCAAAACACTCTCGAGCCGCTTCGTGCCCTAGATGTCGCAATATCACAGGAACGTGTAAACTCGTCGAAAATAGCCAAATTTCCATTTCAAGGCGTAGGCGTCATGACACGTGGCACGTGGGATCAATGATTGCTCTCTTAATCCTTCCATTCCGTCTTGAAGCGTACCACTCCCGAGCATGTCCACGTCATGGGTGCCGAGATTGGCACAACACGTGTGTACTCGTGGCAGAGAGCAAAATTCGTCTTTGAGTGCGTACCACATGATACATGCGACCGTACCATTTCGCACAGCACATCTTTTCGTGCCACTGCTTACCACTCGTGACTTCGTGAGAATATCGCGTATAGCGCTAATATCGCTGTTTGCAGAGGACCTATGTGCCCACTTTAAGAGCCAATACGAGCGTTAAGGAGCCTTCCACGTTGCCCTTTAGTTCTTTGCATTTGCTCAGAGGGCCCTGCACTGTTGCTGGGCCTTTCCCGATAGCGTGCCGGGGCGCTCCTGCCATTCAGGGACCTTCAACGGATTCTTTCCACTCGCCAGAAAGGCTCTATGGGTTATGACCAGGGTCCGACATGTCAACCTGTCAGGGTACTCTCAGTTGTCCAGTGGCCCTTTACGTTGGCTTCGGTCAATCTACCGACACACTTGCGATTTGCTCATAGGCCCTTTACATTGGTCTAGGGTGCTTCCAGTTTGCTGTGACTTGCTTCGGGCCCTGCGCCCTTGTCGGGGGTCCATCTGTTGACCTGCTTCGGCACACTCGGCCGTTCGAGACCCTCCAAATTGGGTCTTGTGTACTTTCTGTTTCAATATGGAGGGCTCTACACAACTGTCGGGGGCCATCTTTTTACCTCCTCGGGCACGCTGGATTGTTTGGGGCCGTGCACATTGTGTATTTTAATGTGGGGTCATACGCTCGTGTTGGGAGCCATCTGGTGGCCTGCTCGGGTACTCTCGATCTTTCGAAGACTCCACACTGGATCTTGGATACTTCTCATGTGAATGGCGGGCTTTACGCTCTTGTCGAGGGCTTATCTGATAACCTGCTTGGACACATTAGATCGTTCGGGGCGCTCTACATTGGATCTTGAGTGCATCCTATTCGAATGGGAGGGCCCTACGCACTTATCGGAGCCCCTCTGTTCGCCTCCACGGCCACACTGAGTGTTCGGGGGCTCTACACATTGGGCCTTGGTGTCTGAATTTAGGGCACTGCGCTCTCATTGGGGCCATATTCTGCTGCTGCTGCTACACTGCTACGCGGATACACTCCATGTTTCGGGGGCTCTCCGCACTGGGTCTTGAGCACTTCTTGTTTGAATGAAAGGCCATACACTCTTGGCGGGCCCCTTTTGATAAGCTGTTCGGGCACGCTCTATCATTCGGAGGTCTTCTACATTGAGTCATGGGACTTTCTTATTTGAATGGAGGGTCCTACGCTCTTGACGGGTGCCGGTATGTTAACCCGCTCGAGTGTGCTCAATCATTTTGGGCTCTCCACATTGTGTCGCGAGTACTTCTTGTTTGAATGGAGGCGTTTGCACTCTTAGCGGGGGCCCCCATCTGCTACCTTGCTCGAGCACACTCGACCATTCCGGGGTCCTCCATGTCGTGTCTTGGTTACTTCTCACATGAATGGATGGCCCTATGCTCCTGGCGGACCCCACCTGTTAAGGTGGCGGATGCACGGGGGAGGGGAGGGGGAGTGAGGGAACGGGACCATTGTCCCCCAGGGTTATGTCGAGAGGACCTATAGGCTCCGAAGGGGCCCTTAACCGGCCGAACGGACTCAGCTTTTTAATAAAACAAAAACGATGACAAAATTGGACGTTTATTTGGGCCACAGAAGGCCAAGAACGGTTGCTAGCAAAAGCAAATGGCTCATAAGCAAACAAAGCTAATTCTTTGCTGATTGAGCAGGTGTTGCTCGGGGGAAATTTCGAGGCTGATTACGCTGTTTGGGGGCCCTTCACTGTTGCCCTGGCCCTGCACGCCCACTCGCCGGGTCAATCTGATCGCCAAGGAGCTTTTTATGTTGCCCGTGATCTCTCTACACTTTGTCGTAGGACCCAACGGTGCTAATAGGACGCCACCCGCTTCCATGCCTGGGCACTCTTGATCAATCAGGCTCTCCTCCATGGTTTCCCCCCGTTCGCCTGAAAGGCTGTGTACCCTTTTTCCGGGGCCCAATATACCAGGGTACACTCAGTTGCTCAGGTGCCCTTCGTGGTACTCTTGGCTTCCTTCCACTTGCTCGGAAGGCCTTGCGCTGTTGTTGGGGCTCATATCAGGTAATGCACCGAGGCTATCGATGCTCGGGGGCCCTCTGCTTTACCGAGGACCTTCTCCCTTTGATCTCATCTGCAGAGGACTCTTCACTCCTATCGAGACTCTTTCTGTTAACCTGCTCGGGTACTCCTGATCGCGCACGGGTATTAATTCATGGTCTTAGGTAATTCCCCTTTGCTCAGAGGGTCATGCGCTGCGACCAGGGTTTTTTATGTCAGCCTGTTGGGCATCACCGATCGTTGAAGAGTCCACGACGTTGATCTTAAGTTATTTTCACTTGCGCTGAGCAACCTATACTTGTTGACTGGAACATCTTTGTTAACCTCCTGCGGCATTCATGATCGTTCAGGCTCCGTCCCTATTGGCATTCGTGCATTAACCTTAAAGCAGCAGTCAGATATACACCGATGATTTTTTACGCACATTTTTCGAACGTAATTTTACGTACCGCCTTCGTATGTGCCATTTTCACTGGCGATTGAGTGTGTGACACTTACATTTGTGCATCACGTTATTAGCATATCTTGACTACTACAATGTTCTTACTCCTTTATAACAAATTACAAAATCTGCATTAGTCGTCAACCATCAGCTAGTCGCATCGCCCAGCAGGCTAGCCGTAAATTTGCTAGGAATCAAGTCCGTGCTCGGTTTTGATAGTATTCGGCAGCTATCTTGAGTTTATTTGCCTTTTTCCGAAATACGTAGTCTCAAAATTTTATTTTAAGACTACGTCATTTTACGAGACTACGTCACGACTACGTCATTCACAGACGTCATTTTAAGATGGTCTGTAGAAAACCAATGAACTTTATTCTTGTGCACACGTGGCACGCCTAGTTTTACAGGACTGCGCACAGTGGAATGGGTTCCCGTATTGATTTCAGATATCTGTGTCTATCTATCTGTCTATATATATATATATATATATATATATATATATATATATATATATATATATATATATCTCTCTCTCTCTCTCTCTCTCTCTCTCTCTCTCTCTCTCTCTCTCTCTCTCTCTCTCTCTCTCTCTCTCTCTCTCTCTCTCTCTCTCTCTCACTCCCTCACTCCCTCCCTCCCTCCCTCCCTCCCTCCCTCTCTCTCTCTCTCTTTCTCTCTATGCATATATGCATACTTTTATACACGTATATATTTATATAGGTGTATAATACATCTGTATATATAATTATATGTGAATATATATATATATATATATATATATATATATATATACTACGCACCTTAAAATGTAATGGCCGAAGTGCAAATATATTTTTGGAAGGAGCCCCAAACTTGAGGAGGCCCCACATTGTTGCGTGGCCTCCTTGACGAAATCCTGGCATCGCCCCTGCTAGTGGCGACAACTAGATGACAACTGGTGGAACTAGTGGTATATATCCTTTACAGGAAATATTCCACATTTGAAGGTATTGAAGCAA